AATTCGAGGGGATCGGATTTTTTTTCCCACGCAAAGAGAAAATTGAAACGAGTCGGAGAAGCAGCTCGCCCGGATAAATCAATTGGCCGGGTCTCGCAGACGTTAGGAGAGCTCTTGACACGATTCTCTATTTGCGTCGCCCGCGATCCCAGGGCGATCGAATCCCGGAGGAGCCGCACCTGACACCCCGAGACGGTCGCGACTCCACCCGTCGAGGTCGAGTCGCGCCAAAGGGAACACCTCCGCGGTCGGGCAGAGAGGAGGGAAATCGCCACATTTTCCGCCGAGGAAAATCACGGCTGCGGCCGGCCACGCCGCAAAGGCGGACAAATGCGCGACCTAAATGCACTTGTTATTAACTTCCGAGGCTTAATCACGACGCGGTGGTCGCGCGCATTCGACCGATTAACCCGAAAACGCGAATGCTCTCTCGCTCGTTTATCCGCTTAGTATATTAGGTCGTTCCATAACTTGGCGAAATTATTTTTCAGCATTTTTTCCGCGGGGGTAATCGCTTTGGAGATAAATAAAATTACCGAGCAGCTGGCAGCGGTGTCGGGGAATACGTTATTAATTAATTACCTCGATGCGAACAGTTCTTAAGCCTTTACAAATTTTTTTCGTGAGATCGGGGCACGACCCTATATTTCGTAGACCTCGTGAGAATGGCGGAATCGACGGGAGAGATGAATTTTTTTTTTTTCTTCGCTTAGATCCTTAGTTGGGAAATCTTCTCGACCTCGTGGGGTCCTCGAAGGAAGGGTCGATCGGTCGACCGGAAATCGCCAAGTGGGAGCAGTCGATCACCACGAAACGGGACGTGAACGGGCGCGAGTCCGAGTTCCCGGCTCGTGGCTTACGGTTTTCTAGGCACGAGCCTTCGGCACGTCACTCGCTCTCGAGGTGGGGTACGCGCGGCCACTTCGCGGCTCTTCAACGTCGGCCCGACCAGTCAACCTGAAACCGCGAAGTGCGATCGTTCCCCGCCGTCGACGCACTCCCGCCGATCGGACGTCCGCGGTCGGATCCATTATTCCGGGCGTTTGCCCGTACCTATAAATAGATGAAAACGCCGCTTCCGTTCCCGAATAACTGGCTAAATCTATTCCCCTAGTGTTTTCGAGTGCAGTGCGTTTCAGGGGACAACTGGATCGATCCGATGATCGAGGAAAGGAGTGCATCGAACGAAACGGTGCGACCCTCCGACTCGTCCCGGTCGGTAAGCGGAGTCGCCGCTTTACCCGACACCGCGAAACGTCAAAATCAGCTGATCGCGCGCCATACATTTTTTTTCTCCCCGGGCAATCGCTGTTCTACCGTCGTACGAGAAAGTTACGACGTGCGAAAAATCACCGACACTCCAGGCGCGACTTTTAACGTTTCACGGGACGACGTTAATTCGTTTGGGCCGCCATTGAGCGATGATAATTGCCGACACCGCTAACTGTCGATAATCGTCGAGAAAATCTTGCCCGTCTCGGGTGCGCCGAAAATTGCGCGCGTTGGGCTCGTTCGCCCTCGATGGATTTCGGTACATGGATCGTCGGACATTTTCGTTGGCGGTTCTGCAGGGAATTGAAATAACCGGAGCGAGTTGTCCACTTCGCTCGATGGGATCGATATCGTTGCACGGAGGCGCGAGGGTATCGGAGTATCTCCCGCGTCCGTAATTAGACCGGCGGGTCTAATTTTATCCGACACGCTCGCTGACATCATAGGGCCCGTTAACCAGAACCGAAAGAGCCGGTCGGCCCGGGAATGTCACCGGGTCGTAAAACAAATTGGCAAAAATGATTTTCTCGGTACCGCCACTCGTTGACTCCCAGCGAATGACCGGCTGGTTAGAAAGTTATCGGCGCGGCGCGAATTCCGAAGGGTCCTTGGGGGGAAAACGCAAGGTAAACCGAGCTTTGCGATTTACCTTCTAATCTCCATCGGATAAGCTCTCCGGTGTCTCCACCGAATCCCTTTATCGCATTTGCGAAAACCATCGGAGTCGCGAGCAACCCTGACGCCTGTCGTCGAGGACGGTTTCGTGATTCCATTTAATTTAACGACGGACTCTTTTCCGACTTTGTGCTCGGTTTCATTTGCACGTCCCTCGAGAAACGTTCCCGTTGATAAGCCGGAGTTTACGTAAAATGATTACATCCTCGTGAGTCACTGCAAACAGCGTGACGAAACACTCTAGTCTATGTGCAAAACATTATGCGGAACAAGCGGCGGCCGATAATGTTTCTCGATCCACGACTCGGTTTATTTGCGCTCTGGAGTGCACTTGGGTTTTATTTTTATTCCCTCTTTTTTGTGTCCGTTATCGATAAGGATCGGCAAGGCTAGATCTGCCTGGAGACGTTCGTCGATTTTTGTATATGCGCATAAATTAGCCGGTGGTGTAACGACTCGTGGATCGCGCGACAAATAGGTCAATCTGGCGTCATTAGCCTTTTTAATTTAATCGGCGCAACCTCTCAGACCGGTGGTCTGGTTTTATCAATCTCGTCGCCGACGGAGCCGTCTCGAGTAGCCTCTTCGAATGAAGCTTCCCAAACTAGTCCCCTCGTTGTCCTGGAACGAGAACTCCGTCCCCTGATTTGTCGCCAACCATTTTCGAGCAATTCTCGGCAGACGATTTCCGCTCCAAAAATTGCAGGCCCGAGACGAGGATCAGAGGTGCAGGAATTACGGTGTTTTAAGTACAAACCGTGGGATTACGAGGATTTTATGCGGAGATAAGGGTATGTTCAAGGATAACGCTCATACGTTTCCACGTTTACGTTCGCGTATAATGTAACAGTACGCGGCCAAAAAAATGCAATATTTTACGAGGCGGGTATCTTTCTCGTGGGAGTGGAAGCCTTAATTTGGTTTCGTTTACCGTTCCAAAGTAAGTGGGCTGGATGCTTCGAAGAATCCAGTTTCTCCTGAATTTAATTCGGGTACGGGAATAAATGTAATAAAAAAGAGACGTACATCGAACGAGAGGGTACGAAAGTTGAGAGGTCATGCCGACTCGGATCTCGTATTACCGGGCAATTACTCGCATTAGCCCGAATTCACGGCGGCGTAAATGCGTCGGGCGGGTCTTTTTATCTTCTCTGGGAATTTCCCGGAATTCCTCTTACGTCATATTAATGTTCAGAAAAATCGCGACGTCGCAGGGCAATGTTTTATCCCGCGTTACGAGCCGCGTAAGAAGTGCACTTTACGAGCTCTTTTCGTTCTTCCCTTTTTATTCGTTTATTATCGTTTTTAAAATCCTGCCGTCGCGCAATCGAGGTTATCAATTAGTGAAATTTTAACCCGGAGAACTTTTCTTACGCCGTAAACGAGATCGGCAGTCGATCGTTCCTTCGTTCTGTCGCATACATATTTTTTTTTATTCATCCTGTCGGAAATTCGCGGTCCCAGGCAGATGGGTTTTCACTTCCCCCTCGAAGTCGTCGTATACAACAACGATCGGGAGAAACTCGGGTGGACGAGCGTGGATAAGTACCTTGGTACTCGCGCACATAGGTCACGCGTAAAGAACGAGTCGCGGCCAGTTTACTCGCGACTAGCTGTAGAGATAGCGAGCTTTCTCCCGATCGTGAACTTTTACTTTTGCCGAGGAGGAGAGGCGCACGTAGGAGTCGCCGGAATCGCCGTAAAAGTACCTATTGCTAGGGACCTTGCCGACTGCGACCCGAGGCGGGAATATTCACGCAGAGGCGATACAAAGTCGAGGAAAATTGCGCCTCGACGTGTCTTCTGGCCGTGCGGTTTCGCGTCCGCGAATTGATTAAGGCAAATCGCGGACCGATATCAGCTGACGCGCTTTCACGTCCTCGCCGGCGGGTTTTTCGTTCCATTTCCGATAAGCCTCCCGTAAAGCGTTCCAGCTGCTCGTTTATTATCCCGTGTTTTTTTCCCTTTCCTCCGCCCGTTTTTTTCCTCGCGCTATCGAGCGAATTAAATGGTTCCCACGAAACGGGAACACGAAACTGGAACTCCCGTCTTAATGGGCTCTATTACGCCCATGGCGAGATTCCCATTTCACGCGTGTTTCCTCTCGCCCGAGTTATTTCGACTTTTCCGTTTTTCCCGTCCTTTTCCCGTCCTTTCCCCCGTTGCTTGCGAAAAGTCTACTCCGGGATCGACGAGAGATCGCGCCGCGCGAGCTGCGAACTTGGCTCGTGCATAATTCAGTACCCCCCGCAGACGAGGATGCACTTTTTCCCCCTTTTCGGAAAACTTAGTCGGGATCCGTCTTCGGAGTTTCGAGGAGATTGGTTCTCGAGGAAAGGAGCCGAGGCGACGTCCTCGGGCGAGCAACTCGGGGCCAAGAGAGCTCCGCCTCGATACGGTCGAGAATCCCGGGGCCGGCTCGGCGAGATGCGACCGAAACGCCCCCGGAGATGCATCGCCGGGGTGAAACGTCGATCCCATTGCCGGAAGTGGCGCGCTTTAGGTGGCACCACCTAGAATATCCCGAGGATATACGCGAAGGGGATGTCCTCCGAGGAAGCGCCTCTACCTCTTCTCTCTCCATTACGAATTGCCTTTGGAAACGGGAGATCTTCCTTCCGAGATAACCTCGCGGCCACTTTCTGGTAATTATGCCGGCAAACGAAACTGATCGTCCTTCGCGCCGCTCGAGGTGGCTCTCCCGAGACGACTCCGAGGGCGAGTCCAATCGTCTCCATTCACGGTATAAACGGTCTTACGACATTAATCTTCGCGAGGTTAGACCGAGCGAGGCTGGAGGCGCATGAAAACAGGGTCACGTAGGCGAGAGGTCTCGCCTTTTGAGAGTCCTTTTCTCGGTCTTTTCGTCGGCCTTTTAGAGACGCGCGAGTCCCTTGGCGGGGTATTAAAATTAGTCCACTCGCGTCACGTTCGCTCTCTTCCAGGGAGGGAAAGGCCCTCGCGCGGAGATTCGTCCCGAAATACGCGACGAGGTCGCCGGTTTTTCTCGGATCGGATCGACGCGTCGTTTTCGATCTCCGTCTCTCGGGTCTTCTCGGAGAGGATGGAAAATGACGGTCTTTCCTCGTTTCCGTCTACCCCGGTTTCGAGACTCGAGCGTCAAACCTCTCACCGGGTACATCCATCGGAGGTCCGATCGAACGGCGACAGGTCCGCCGGCTGAATTTTCATCGGCCAAAGTTTCACTTTCTCCCGTGCCATGCTCCAACGAGCGGCGGCTCGTTGACCCTGTCCAATCGAGGGACCGATCTGGGCCATTTCCGGTGGAACCGCCGCGAGCCCTTCCGCGACCGGCCCAGGGGAAAGGAGCGTCCCCTACCGTTCCTCCTGGTCGGACAATTTCTATTATTTTACGCAAAGCGCGTCGAGCGGTCCCTCGGGAACTCGGCCGAGGGCATTTTCTTTCGCGAGCATCCCTCTCTCTCTTCTCTCTGTACCGGACAGGTACATTTCACCTGCACGAACTCTCGTGTCCGGGTAAATCCGAAGTTTATGCCGCCCGTCAGCGACAGAGCCAGAGGAGAACTTCGGCTTCTGTTTCCGAGCGGACCGTTCCGGTTAGTCTCCCGCGTTACGCGAGCACCCCCGGAAATGGGACGATTATGAAGATACATCGTTTTTCGATGGTTATCGCCAAATTTCCTCCAAAGCGTGGAGGGTCGTTTCTGCCGCATCGAACGACGGAAAGGACGGAGCCGAGTCCTCCGTTCACCGCCCGCGACCGATCCGCTCGCCGCACGAATTTACGCAGGTGCGTGCCGATCCTCCCCCGAGTTACGGGAATACCTGTAATACGGATCCCTAACTGGTCCGTTACTCCTCCCGCGCGTTTCCAGGAGTCGTCTCATGCATTCGATATTTATGCCGGCTAATTAATGCGTCCTGCCTCCGTACTCGCGTAGGAGAACCCGCGCTCGCGGGAGCCACGGGTCGATTACTCCGTTTGCTCCTACCATTTTTTATGCCGGTAACCGTATCACCTAGCCGATTAATTGGCACGTCGGCGAAGAGCCGTGGAACATTTTACCTACTTTTCTGTATTTCTTTGCATAATTTTTCTTTATCGATAAGTCGAGTCGGGTATCGATTTGACCACTAATTAACGCGTTTAGAAATATCTAGACTCCGGAGAACGGTTATTCGGGCACCTCGCGCCCATTACCCGCTAACACTCGCCACTTCGTCGTCGCGCTCTCGTGCAATAATTACGAATTCCCCGTAACTGCGGCGTAATCCGCCCGTAAACCCTGGGGATCCGTGCACGCGTCTACGTAGAGCGGTACTCCCATTATCGTGACCCGGTTCCTTTCGGGCCGCGACGCTGCCCGACTACCGATTTCGAGTCGTACAGTTAGAGGTACACGGTCTACTCCGTGATGTACCGTATTTAATCCTAGAGGCCCTAACCATATGTACGAAGGGGTACGTTGATTGGACCCAAACGCGATACGCTACCGGTACGCGAATGTACCGGGGTGTACCCTCGTGTCTGCACTCGTACGTCCGGCAAATACGAAAGCGACGTTCTTGCACGTAAGCGTTTAATTCGGCTGCCAATGGGTACGACAACTGGCAAAGGTCTAATCGCTACACGAGAACCGTAAGCCTGTGTCGTTACCATCGAGGTGCACGTAAAAGGACATCCGTGCTCGGTACCTCCCAAAATGGTCCCGTATGTAGAGGCCGTGATTCAACGCGCCGACGTCGAGGCTGAGGACTTGCGCGATTTTTTTATATTTTTTTCTACCCACTTTCCTCTATTTATTTTACGCCGTTTTACGGCTCTTCTGTGGACCATTCGAAAAATCGACCGCGTAAACGCGGCGGAACCAGCTCGAGATTCGAGCGATCAACTTTTATTGGGCTCGGTTTCAAAAATGAAACCCCGTAAAGCGGATAGGATAAATATAGGGGAACGCGAGGAGAAATGGCGGTCCGAAAAATCGGAGCTTCGAAGTAAAAATCGAATTCAGCCGGCGTTAGAAAGTCCTCGGCGAGAAAGTGAGAAAAACGATCGGATAGATCGCGATTCGTATTGCGCGATCGATCCCTTTCTCGGGTTTCCTATTTTTCTAACTTTTCGCTCTCGATCGTGTGCCTGAGAAAGGAAAGGATTTTTTTAACGGGCCTTGCGAGGAAGGTGTCTCGATGGTTCGCGTTTTGGATCAGTCAGAATAATTGAATGGGATTTTATTCCTCTTCCGTTGAGTACTGGACCGGGAATTCGCGCAGTTTGCGGATTCGGTAATCGCGACTCGATCGAACGGAACTTTTCCTCGGGAGGGGACTCCGTTTTTTTAAACCAGGGGCGTGAAATTTAAATCGACGGGTCGCTGCCCGCGGCATGCGAAAATATCCGGACTCGTTTCGAACAAAAGTCCCCGAGCCATTCGGAAATATTGAAGCCCCTGTTAACCCACCGAAGCATGAGTTCATAAAGCCGGGGTACAAAAGGTCCTTTACGTCCCTGAAACGTTACGAAATTCTATCCGCTCCGGGCAAACTGTCCAGATATTTAACAATCACCTTTCCAACGCGAGGTCACGGTTTGAAAAAGAAAAAAAAAAATTGGGAGTCCGCTTTTACGAGGTGCCGACACGTCGCAATTAATTAAATAATTAATGTCGCGGTGATCCTCTCCCTCGCGCGAGGATCATCCGCGCACTCGGGATTGCGCAAAGTCCTCGGTGAAATATTACATGTACGTTATCTTTATTTGGTTTTGACGAGCGTGCAACTATTGGCGCAATCCCGGGCAAAGGAAATCCCGTGACTCGGCGACTCCTCGAAGGTCCGTCCTGGAATGCTCTCGTAATCGCAATCGCTTGATTAAAAAATTAATTCCAACGGCTGTTAATCAGTCGGCGGTGGTTAATTGGCCGGAGGGCATAATCCGCGGGAATGCTCGGGTATGTTGGAAATTTATCTCGTGGAGATCGGTGACGAGTCCGAAAGAAAATCCTTGGCCGGTCAGAATCCGGAGGAGCACTCGGCGATTCTTTTGAAAGCCGATCTCACGCATCCCGTGGCACTCCCCCGCGTCCTCCCTTCGCGGTTTTTTGATTTACCGAACGGCGTATCTCCTTCGCGCGGTTAGTTTCGGTTACCTAACCGCATTCCAATAAGTTTCCTCATATTTCTTCGGGTTTAGACACACTCGCCGAGTATCCGGTTGCCTGCGGTTGCACCCTACGATTTTGTTTACTCGCATTCTCCTCGCGTGTCCTTTTCATCCTCGTCGCGAAACTCCTCTCGAGAGCTTCCACTCGTCCTTCCAGGAGACCGGAAGACTTCGAGCCGATCGACGACAAATTTCATCCGCCGTCCTGCTCCTCGGAGAAATGCAATTTATTACTTTCCTCGGTATACGGAATTCGCCGGCTTACCTCTTCGACTTTAAACTCCTCCGACCTTGACCGATTGGACGTTGTTCCCGATGAGTTTCCAATCGATGGCGCCTTCATCGGGACAAGATATCGGAAGTACGTACAAACTCGGAAAATTCGCAAAATTTCCGGTCAAAGCTTTCGGTAGCTACGATTAAATAGAAACGTTTCTGTACCTTGGGAAAAAAAAATCAAGCTCGAAATTCGGCTGGTTTTAATTAATTAAATTCTTAATTCAAGGGGGGAAATTAAAGGGCGATAGGGGACGAGGGATCGTTTTTTTCGGTGACGTTATTTTCTTCCGCTGGATCGAAAACGATTCGCTATCGCGGTGGAACTGTAACGTCATCCTGATACGCGATTAGAACGAATAGGTAGGAGGGGAGCCCCCTCCATATTTAAGTTTGACAGTTCGTAGCCATCGCACTGCCTACTTTCCTGCAGTTCACCAGTGCGAATTGGCACAGGCGGTACTTCTCCGTCGAGGTACTCCGCACGATGCGTTTTCTCCTCCGAGTTTTATAACAATCCGCTCGTTACTTTTTTTAACCCAAAATTCACGTCCGACCGATTTCTCGTGATTAAATCGACCTCGCCTCTTCCGCGTTTCGGAACGCTCGTAGTGCGACTCGAATCCGGATTTTCATGAAATATTTTACGATAAATCGCGTAATCGAAAAAAAAAATTGTAAATTATCGTACAGTGGAAAAGTGAGTCGTTGAAAATATGTTCTGCGTAGTGAGCACGTGGTCGAGGGCTATGCCTTAAGGATTATTCATAGATACTGAATAATTTTTTAATTTTGTGCCCTCGGGTGTTTAATGTTTCCAGTGTTTAACCTTTTCGCATTAAATATATTACCGGCGACGTGAAATCCGGCGGAATTAAGGGGCGTGGGGGTTACTTAATTACATTTTGTGAAATTTTGGCCGTGATCGGGAAGCGTTGATCCGTTTCGACGATCCGAAAGCGTGGTTACTTACACTTGGATCTAGTTACTCGAGCCGCTCCGGAGAGGGTTAATCGAATCGTTACAAAGTACATAATACTAACTGCATCCGGTCACGTAACTATAGCGGACGGTGAAGAATAGCAGGATATTACAGCTGGATTCCGTTATTTGAGAAAACATTCCCCCTACGCGGATGCATCGACACGTTGTACAAATATTTCACTTCCCCGCCGCTGTCAGTACCGAAATTTAGCTCGCATAATGTCAAATTTCTGTTGCACGCTGCACTCGGCATTTCGCCGGACGGTACCCCAAGTCGTAAAACACGTGAAATGGATTATTTTTGATAAATTGCAATTAACGCTCAATGCCCCGTAAGTGGACTCATTTACCTAATTACCCACTCAACGAGTCGCGCAACAATTTACTTCCGCGGTAATGAGGAAATTCGCGAGGTCGTTCAATTCCGTCAACGAGCGCGCTTTCCAGAGGACGAGGGCCCCGAATGTTGATACGACTAAAATTATCACTCGCGCCTTATCTCGCTCGATACTCCATGCTCTTATCAAGGGAAACATCGGACAATTAAACCCGTGTTTAATAAAAGCCACCGAGTTTGGTCAACTTCGCCGGAGGCTCCGCAAACCTCGACGAGACGAATCAGACTCGGCGAAGGTTATCTCGCGGCGGTTTTTAATTTCGCGTCGTTCGAGAGACCGGTCGTCCTTTTTATCGGGGGCTAGGACGTGCCCTGTATTTTATGCAAATGCAGTCGGAGCCTCGTATAAAGGTCGCGACGGTCAAGACTCGAGTCGCGAGTCTTATCAGCGCGATAGCCGTGAAGTCGTGCGGGAAATCAACGCGTTCGCGGGGAGGGAATTTTTTATTTTTGTGGGCGTCATGTCGAGGGCAAAAAGAAAAAGTATTTCGCGCTCGTTATTATTCAACGTCTCCGAGTTTTCATACGTGTGGCCTCGAAAAACTCGCCGCTAAAGAGGAACGAACGGTACCGCGTGATATATCGGAGTGCACCCATTCGAAGTGCATCGGTGCACACCTCGCGCCAAGTGCACTTCGCGCTCGTCTAACGCCCCGGGAGGCTCGATGGCGTGTTTTTAACGATGCTTCCGATTCCCCGGCTTTTTCGCGAAACTTCCCATTCCCTGGCCGAAAAAAGAAAAATGGACCGGAGCCAGCTAATTTGGGAAATTAATTGGTGCACTCTGCATCCCTCTTACGCGTCGACGCTCCCCCTCGCCGTCGGGTCTTTTATAGAAATAATTTGTTAATTAACGATTTAACGGGACGGTTCGAGCGATCGCCCGGTGGGATTGACTCCGTTAGCGAGACTCGGCCATTCGCAGCGACCGAGAGCCCTGGGAGCAATTCGAACGACGAGGGTACCGTTGGCACGTGCTCGGGGTTCATCCGTTTTGTTTAAACGATTGTCACGTATCGACGAACCGTTTTCTCTTCGATTAACCCAGTGCCAACGCCCGGATGACCGGAACACCCGTTCCACGAGCGGGATGGACGCTCGTCCACCGTTTTTCCTCATTTTTCACATTTTCCTCGCTTTTATCCAACAAGAAATTGAATCCGGGTTTACGAGCAAAATTCAGAAGGGCGGAAAAAATTGACGGGGTTTTTCTTTCCGGACCATTCGCGTTTCGAAATCGACGGCGATTCCCCACGGGTAGATCTAACCTCTACGGCCGACGTGCCCGTTCCGTCGTTTCGAGGATTCCGTTATTCGCGCCGGCAATCGGTAGAAAGTTATGCATACGGCAATGGAATTCGTGATTACTTTCGTACTTTCGAAGGTAAGACGAGAAGCGAACTCGCGCCGGCACGGGTAATTGCGCGAATGCCCTCGGTGCACTCGGTGCACACTTCGGAAGGGTCATCCGCGCGAGGATCCCCTCCGCTCGTCGCCGAGATCCATTAATCGCTCCTCTCTTTCTCTTGATTTGAATTTTATTTAAATTTCCTGTAAAAGGATGCGAGGCCCGGCCCGACGGGAGCACCGACGTGTGGGGAATTTCACCGGCCTCCTTTGAGGGATTTCGAGTAAGATGCAACTAACCGAGTAACACGCGATGCCCGTTCCTCCCCCTCTTTTGTGTCTTTTTTTTTCCTCGTTTCGACCGACTCTCCGATCGGACCGTGCACGAGGGGAAGGAGAGGTTCGCTTCCTGCGCGGATGCGTGTTCGAGCGCATCGTAAATGCACTCTCATGGAGGCTTTCAGCGCGCAAAGAAACGGCCGGCCTCGTCTAGTCGGTCAAATAAATGCATTTCCCGGGTTTTTGCCGAGTTTTTGCCCCGCAAATGGCGCGCCCCCGTTACGGCCCCGGTTAGGAGTCATAAATCATAATCCGACACCTCGCGCGTCGTCGCGCCAATTTTTCAACGTCCTCGGTCCAGGAAGGATTCTCCTCGCGAGGGCTTTATCTCCCGAGGAAAAGTGCACTTTGGAAGGCGCGTCTCGTTCGGAGACCCGCGGAGAAAGTGACGGAATGCCCCAACGCTTACCGGGTTTCATCGTTTATTAATCGGGAGAGGATCGCGAAAAATAAGGCCCGAATAAAATTATAAACAAAGGAATCGATTTCCACAAAATCCCCGCGGTGTTCTCAAGCGCGATATAAGATTCCGGGAAATTCTCCTCTCCACAGGGGTGGAGGAAAAATTAGGGAATTCGAGTCGCCGCGGTCGTTGTTCGGTCTCGTTCTCGATAAAAAATGAATGGAGAGGCGAGAGGCGATCGCTTCCGGGTAAGAATGCAAAGTCGCCGGGTGATTCGCCACGTCGTAACTTTCACATTCAGCCCGGGAGAGAGGAAACTCTCCGGGGATTGAATAATCGGCTTGAAATTGTCCCACGAGTGCAGCTCCGTTGAATACCGGGCCCGGTATTTTCGCGCAACAAGGACGACGACGTTAAGATGTGCATCGCTCCTGCGCCGCGCGATACGAGGAGGAACAATCGCGTCGGGTAAAAGGGAAGACAATGGGGAATCTCGACTCGGGGTGCGAACGGTGATAACTGCGCGAACGATGCGATCGATCGGAGCAGGGCGAGTGCAAGATCGGTGGCCCGGGTGCGGTCTCGATCTCTGAAGATCGAGGTTCCCGAGTCGAAGGAGTCGATTCCTCGCTCAAAGGCGAGGCGCCCTCGAGGAATCGAGGAATCGAGGAATCGAGGAGGAGACACCATGTTCGGCACCACCATGGTGGAGCCGCGAGAGCGCAGGTCACCGTGTGCCCAACACGGGCACCACCACCATCGCCACCACCACCACCACTATCACCAAGTGATAAAGACCACCAGAGTGCACCAGACCTCGAGGTCCTCCAGAGTCGTCACCGTGCAAGAAAAGGTCATCAGGTCCAGACTGCAGCTGGGATACTCCACGCCCACCGCCTTTATGAATCGGTATCGTTGATCGGTCCTCTACATCCCTTTTGTACCCTTTTTATTCCAGCCTTGATGCTCGAAAAAAGAAAAAATCCGTCGAGCGGAGACAAGATGGCCGCGTTCGCGACTCGAGTTAGAGGCCGACCCGATGCGGTTTCGCGCAGTCCACCGTGCTCCGCTTATCCTTCCCGCGATTTCGCGCAACCTTCCATAAACAGCCGCATCCGTCTCGCGCGAGGCGATCGCCGTGCCGCAATTTATTTATGCTTCAATTACGCGCCATTACGTAATCCGGTTCGCGCGGCACGCGCTTGCGTAATAACGCGCGCGGAGGAGGGATAAAAAGCGGGGGAAAAGAGTCCCGCGATGCACTTCGTGCACCGAATACAGGGTGTACTCTCTGATTCACCTTCCGTTTTATAGTCGGCCTCCGTTTACGACGTCGCCGGTCTCGCTCCTTTTATCTTTACGGCGCCTTTTATTCCTCATCGTTCGCGCGACTCGCGAGAGCCTTCCCTTGTTCTCCCCTTTTTATCCCGATTATCATTTTCGAGGAAAGCGCCGCGTTAATCCGTTCTCCATTATTCGCGAAATGGATCGCGGATGCGTTTTGGATTCGCGCTCGATTCTGCTTTCGGAGTTTTAATTCGGGGACGGGGAGCTCGTATATTTTATTTTTATCACGGTGCTCGAGGGGGATGACGATCGTGGGGCACTTCGCTGGGTGACGCTTACTTCTAATGGACGTCCAATTTGAAAGTCGGAGTTTAACCTCGTCGGACGGAGACTTGCCTGGCGGAAACGAATAATTGCCTCGTCGCGCGAAGTACCGAGGAACGAAATTAAATAACTCGCCCCGAGTTACGCGAACGGCGTATCGGGAAGGAAGGCTCGATCGGTGGATTTCGTTTCGGTATTCTGCATACTTCGTGTACACGGACCGACATTTTTTTTATTCCTTTTACCGCAAAGAACCCAAAAAGGGGACGGGCATGCTCGGTTGCTCTCGCTCTCCGCGGTGCCCGTGCCTAATACACGCCGTGTATTCCGCAGATGAATTCATTAGGGGAATTATTAAAGCGTGTTCCATTATAGCGGGCCCCGGCGACGGAGTTATTATCGCGGAGCAATTAACAGTCGTTCATTGCCGTTAAATTCACGCGAGACGCTATTTGGGCCGCGGCTGAAATAATCTTTCCCACTTCCCTGCTGGCTCGGAATCTCCGGGCCAGCGATAAGGCGGATCGCTTTATGTCGCCGTCTGCTCGGATACCTCGGCCCAATCTTGATATCGTTCAATTAAATGCCAATTAAAAGTTGCCGGACCGACACTTTGCATTTTTCCAAGATACCCGAGATGGAATCTCTTGCGAGACTCCGAGCTCTGCTGGGGGTCGCGGGGTAAACAAGCTTTTGATTAATTCTCCAGGAGTTCCTCGGGCGAGCTGCGAAGTGCTCGTTACTTTTCGGGTTCACCGGACCCGAGAAAAGCTCGCTGCCCTTTGACCCGCGATTCGCCGCGTTTATGTCCTGACGTTTTCTCCCGACGACGCTGCACCCCTTTTCTGGAAAATCCTTGAACGGGCCTCGAGTAAATCCAGGATTGGCCTCTTCCTCTCGATCGGTGTCGCCCTCCTCGTTAATTGTTTAGTCGATCGCCCATCGATTCGAGCTATCGATGAATCGCGAGGAAGAGGGGCAGATGTCGAGGCGGATCTCGGGGAGAATGTCGTGGGCGAATTTGTCGGTCCGACGCGGAACGACCCGAGTTTTCCCGCTAACGTCCGCTGCAGATGTCCCACTAATTGAACAATCGCCCTCGGGATCGGCAGATGAGTAATCCTCGAACTAATTCGCCCCTGCGAGCGACCAAGCGAAAACTCGTCGCCAGAGACCGAATTAATTCGCCTTCGCCCCGACGAAATTCCCTACCGAGCAAATATTGCAAATATAACGCATAAATTGAGAGGGTCTCTCGACGTCCACTCTGTCGCGAGATTTAATGCCCGTGGAATCGATTTTCCCGCAGAGTTGCAGGAGGGGTCGCAAAAATCGTGATTCCTTAGCCCGGAAGATGAAAAGCTCGATCTTGGGGAGATTGATTTTTAATTTCTATTTCTGGTTATTAATTTATTAAGTTTTTAATTTTTTTTTTCCTGGGAGATGGACGACCTTTAAAATTAGTAGGCGGATGTCTCTCGGGAGCCCTCTCGTTCCGGAAGTTCCGCCGAATCGTTGCGGTCGTTAAAGCAACTCGGTTCTTGTTTCAGGGTGGGGACAAAGTGGCCCCGCTTTCCCGTAATGAAATGGCTAATTTCGACAACCGGGAAAGTTCCTCCCTCGGCAGCCCGGGGGTGCATCCGACGCGGAAGACCCACCGCGTTTTAATCGGGCAAGAAACCTGCCAAAGTAAAAATTTCACCTCGTTAAAGTTTCAGGCTTGTTAGGATCCTCCCTGGAAACGTCCCCCTCGCGCCTCCGCGCGGACTTAACGATCGTTGCGAGACTTTTTGCCTTTTCTCCTTTCTTCTTAATTCGCGCGCGCGGCAAGCGACCGGCGGAAATATTCGGCCCGTCATTTCCCGTAATTATAGGATTTACTCGTCATCTCTCCGTGTTTCTTATAATTTTTGGCGTAATTAATTAAGGTACTGGAAGTAGCTCTAGGAGGTCTCGCGGCCGAGCTGAGCGAGCCGAGGTGTAATAAGCGCGAAAATCAGAATTTCCACGCACTAAACCAGTCACCCGGGAAATTGCACTTCCGCTCGAGCCCTGCAAACGCGAACTTGTACTCCGCGCACCGGAAGGCAAAATAAATTTAGAACGCGCACGCGACCGGTGCGTTATCGCGTTTTCGCGTTTTCGAGTTTTAGCGTTTCACGGTTTCCCGATACCGCGAGTTTTCCCGCTTCCGCGTTGCCCCGGAATAGAAAATATCGAGTTTTCCTCGGGTCCTCCATTCCGAGGTCGCTTCCGAAAATGGCCCCACTCGAAATTTATTTTCCGAAACATTTTCCGGGAAATTTTGCGAGATGAAATGGCCTTCGATGAATATTCCGGACAGAAACGATAAAAGAACGGGACTGCGTGCAGGTGAAATTTGCGAAATGTCGGGAAAACACGGGAGAAAGGGTGGGCGCGCCGTTATTATTCCATATTTACTGGATTCATTATAGTCGCGCATTTATTACGCGGCCATTAGGTGCTTAAGGACTAATCGGGTGTAATGGCTCACGGAGGCCATGTTTGCACCATTGCCGCCACCGACTAATGTCCCTTATTTGTCCCGCGTACCGTTTCTAGGACCGCCGACGAAACCCAAACCGCGGCCACGCGGAACATTAATTATCGGTAAATTATTCAGTTAATGCCCGGGCGCGACCAACGACACTCCTAGCGCCGCGTCGACGCGCAAGATGCGCCTCGATTTCCAATTCCGGTAGTTGAGGAGGAGTTAGCTTCCGGTAACGAGGGGGCCATATTAATTTGCGAACCGGTCCCTGCAATAATTAGCCTATAAGTTCCGCGAGCATGCGCCGTGGACCGGGATGGATATCCGAGAAAGTTCGTCGACTCTCGACGTCAGCGGCGCGCAAGAAAACTCCTGCCGCCTCCACCCGGCGCGGTGGCCATTTTTCTTTTCTTGCGGCCCGATGGAGAACGCGTTTTCCCGGATATCCGTTGAAAATTTCGCCCCGAGGGGACGAAATTCTAGAAACTGGGATAATCGAGAATCGCCGAGCGTCCAGAGAGTGAAATCGGAGTCCCTGCCCGACGGGAGCGGCGAAAAAGGGGTAAAAAGAGCCGGGAAGGACGCGGCGCATGGTCGGGGCTTCCGCGGCGCGTGTCCAAGAGGCAGCCGATGTCCTCCACCCGAAGCCACATTGTCTGAGAGTCCCGTCTCGAGACAAACTCACCCGAGAGCTCTCTTTCTCTCTCCCACTTGTACACCCCCCTCTTGCCTCCCAGCCCTTTCGACGAGCCCCTTCGGCTGCCTCTACCCCTTTTCACCGTTGCGCGTCCCTCCCCCGCGATGCGTGTCCATTGTCTCGGGGCAAAACGTCGACGCCGAACCATGGACAGGTTTACTCCGCGATGGGAAGACTTTGGACGAGGGATAGCGTCTAATCGCGGCGAGGTACGAGCGCGAGTAATGCACGAGTAATGCACCGGTGCACCCCTACGAGCGTCGGGCGGCAGGGGAGGGCTTCGCGATTTCTCTCCCTTTCCCACTTTTCCGACGTTTCTACGCGCAATTCCCTCTCCGAGCAGGGTTCGCATTGTCCTGGAAGGTTCCGTTAGGTGTAAGACCCTCTACCCGGGGAGGATCGCAGAAAGACCCGGCAAAGGGACCGGAAGGAAGGGAAGGTGCGAGACGAATTCCGCTAATCGAGCCTGAACGGGAGAGACGTCCGAGGGACTTTGTCTCGACTTTCGCAAACCCACGAGTGATTTTGCCAGAACTTCCAAAAAATTTCTGCAATATTTTCCGACCCGATATTTTTCCGACCGTGCGGCTGACATGACAAAATTTCTGGAATCTACGTCCAAGCGACGTTTCCTTAAAATCCGCATTTTTTCTCTCGGAATTTATGCAAAGGCGCTTAGGAATAATTGTATATAATTGTCCCGCATGTTAATTGGAGCAATGTCTAAGAACCGCGCGGGTCGAATTTCTCCCGTTCCGGTCGAAAGTTGCGTCTCGGAGTCGTTTTTCCCTCCGTCGAAAAATGCGGCGCCAGGTGCAGGTGGAAGGTGTCGGCGCCGGACGACTCGGCATTCGCTTATCGGTCACGCGCGGACAAAGAGATATTTATTTCGAGAAATCTGGACGCGCCGGAGGGTCGCGCTTTTTTTCGCATATTTCTCCCCGTGTCCTGGATCGAGGTCCGAGCGCCCTCGCTGTTAAGACCCCGGGCCAGAGAGATATAATTAGTTTTTCTTCGAAAGTGCGAAGCCAGGTGCACCGGCAGAAGGTGCCGGCCGGCGACGATGGCACGGGCCCTTACGATGGGCAGCGCGTGTATCCCTCGTGTCCTCGTGTGCGTGTCCCCGGCACGTGTCGCGTGCACCCGACTGGCAGCTGTTTCTTCCCCGGGGAGGCTTTAACGCTGCCTTTCTTCCATTTTTTAAGCCTCCTCGGCCACTCGGAACGCGGTCGTTCTCCTCGGCGGGCCGAGGATCCTCGCATCTGCCGGCCGAAAAATCCTGCTCTCGGAGATCTCCAGAAGCCAATAAGAGAACGATCCCTCTACACCTGGCGCGATCTCCGATTCGGTCACCGTTCAATTTGATCGATCGAAAGGAGAAAAATGCAAAATCGCGATCGGCTCGCTTGTGTCGCTACGAATCGACCCCTAATTAAATTGTGTCCAGATTAATTCGAGAGTTTCCTCGGTTCCATTACCGATATTATATTCCGGAACTTCGACTGCAACAAAGTCACGGCAGGTCGAGGCAAAGTTCGTTCCCGAAATAGATTTCAAACTAACTCGGAGCCTCGCTCATCTTCGGAGGTATTACACATCCTTCTCATCGACTACCCAAGGTTCCGCTTGGACGACTTCGAATATGCGGTATCGCGTTGCACCTGAGTGCAGTGTCATCCAAACCGTTAATCACCGTATCGCTCTCCCTTGATTCCGATAATAGCCAACAATCGGCTCTTTGATGATTCCCGGCTAAAGACCAGCCCAGGACGACCAAGATTTCGACCTTCCGCCTGCTTTTCCTCGTATAATATGATTTTTGGTGCTCGCATCCGATTTCTTCGCGTCGCTCGCGTAATCGGAAGCACTCGTGCGTCTTCTGACGTAACCGAATCGGTGCAACGTCCCGAGGAAGGAAAATTGTGCGGAAGCGAGGAGAGAGGTGTGCACCAAAATGGCCGCCGCGTACCTGCTGACGGACGCGCGTAGGGTCTCTTTCCTTCCGTAATTCTCCCCTCTCCGCCCGACCATCCTCGTCCCGTTTCGCGGCAAACCAAGGACCTTTTCGAGGAGCAGCTGCCACCATCCCCTGGCAATCTGTTCTTTACACCCGCCGAGGTCTTCGCAGCCTTCGCAGTCGACCATCGGTCCTCGGGTCTATAGGGTCCTCCGTGTCGCTCCTCCTCCTGCGGGAAATAGACAACTAGGGAAGTCATCTTCGGTTTCTGTTCGCGTTGGAAACTACGACCGATCGTCATCGACCGAAGTGATCGCATCTCGGTTACGCGAGGATTTCTCGATTCTCGGTCTGAAGAAACGCCGGAGGATCGTCCGCGTCGGGGTTGGGTGTCGACCGGTTGTCGCGATCGCCGAGTGCGACGCACTTGCGCGTGTTGGCGTGTAATCGAAGTGTCACCTTTTAAAGTGGACCCGTTATGTCCCTCTCGTGGGCTGCGGCAGTGGGCATGTAAATGGAAGAAGGAAAAGGCCGCAGTGGCGACCGCGGTCGAGCGAGTCGAGACTGACTTTCGACCCGACAGTGGATTTCGAGCTCGATCTCGAAAAACTTTTTTTCTCGTCGATCGACCTCGACCGACCGAAGACGCGATTCGCCCATCGTCGGTGAATCGCGCGAATGCCGAAGCGCGGAAGAGGAGACTCTCCGTCGTTTCTCCTCACGAAGACCAGTCGATCGATCCGACTCGCCGGCCAACATGATTATTTGCATTTCCGGATTCCTCGTGGGGTAGGTTCTCTGGTTATCGTAACGTCGTTATCGCGAAATGGAATTATCGTCTCCGCCGCCGCTCGGGCATTAGCATGCCGCGCGAAGGAGGGGCACTCGGAAACTCGACCCGCCCTCCATAAGGCTCGAATTCGCGGGACTTTGCCAAGGGAAAATGAGCTCCACGGCCGGGTCGACCAGACGGAGGGGACCTTTCCAGAATTTTTTTTTCCGGCCGAAGAAAATCTCAAGAAACCCCGCCGGGATTGGAAAACGTCTCCGGCAGAGTCGATTCCCTCTTCGCGTCGAGGAGGGGCCGGGTTAACGAGACGACGGGATTTTCTTATATTCGTCGCAAGGAAATTCGAGAGAGAAATTAGTCGGACGGTAAATACGTTTCCCGGGAAGTCGATCCCCATTTCCGCGGCTTTTCAAAGGCTTTGGAAAATCCAAAGGCGAGAATATGCCCCTTCGCCGGCGATCGCGCATCGCTAGGAACGACGTTATTAAATCGACGAGCAGCTCACCTTGAAGGTGCTCGTCGGCGATCCCCGAGGTGTGCGAAGCCTCTCGAAGTCTCCTCGTGGTCGTTGTTCACGTACACGCCTCGACTCTATCGGAAAATATGCGCCGTTTCGACAAAATTCCCGATCTGGGTCATCGGGCTCAATTAGTGGCATAGAGGGAAAAAGGTCCCCTCGTGATCGATAGAAATCAGGGCAATCCCCTTAGCGATTCGCTACCCCGGAAGAAATTTCTCCTTTTCCCTCGTAATGACGTATTTGAAGCGCGTGCGGTTCGGTGATGAGCACTTTTTGCAAGACCAAGATGCAGTTCAGGATCCAGGAGGGAGTTGCCGGTTACGTTCGCGGAAAATGTACGGAGTCTCTCCGGCTGTCGTCAACGGCCTCTTTATTGCCGGCAATGAGAGCCAATTACGGCTCGAACGTCTTCGACGAATCGTCGAAGCTCCGTACCTCTCTTTCCCCGTCGATGGGTACACGTCCATCGGCGTATCGGTAGGTTCTCTCCCCCGGGTGTTGCGCCCGGGCCCATAGGAAAGTATCTAGCGCACCGGAAATTGCGTTCGGTAATCACTCGGGGCGGATATTAAACGGGCAGACGCGACGTACCCATCAACCGGCAGCGATTTCGTGGTGGCGCCGTCCCTTTCTTTCGTTTCTCTCTCCGGATAAATTTTTATTTTGTTCCCAACACTTTCCCTCCATTTCCTCGTTTCTCCATTTTCTCCGCCCTCCGCGCGGAATAATGCATTTCATGACGCGCGTTCGCGTCCGGTTATCGGGCCGAAACAGACCCGAAGCGTTTTCGGCAGGCCGACGTCACGAGGGCGTCCCGCTCGCTGTCGCGGTATAAATTCAATTTACCCTCGACCCCCGGAAGGCCGATTGCCTGAAAACGCATGATCTGCGTGGTTTTTAAAACCCTATCTTCCTTTTCCACGGGAAAAAAAAAAAAGAAATATTTTTCAATTTAAACCGAGTTGGGAAAATTGATGAGGTTTTCGGGACCCCTGTCGCCCCGCCTCGGGGTGAGGGGAATTTCGACGGGAACGGTGGGTTTTATAACAAAATTGTTCCTATGAAAAATATGTGGTCGAGCGAGGGGAACGAGGTTTGCTCGACCCGTTTCTCGATATTTTGAACGGGTAGACCGAATACCGAAGGTTTACGCCGGAGAGCGAGGTGGTACCAATGACTCTTTCAACCGACCAGGCGCCGCGTCGTTTCGCAACGCCGTTCCCTTGAAAATCGTACGTAATCTCCTCGAGACATCGAACAAGAACTGCAGGAGCAAAACCTCTCGAAGGACGGAGATCGAGGACACCTTTAACTCACTAGAGCGTTTATCAATAATTGCTCTTCACATATATAGTTTATCGGGGCACCGTCCGCGTTTACGTGGAAAGGCGAACTCGGCGCTTTACCAATTTCCATAAAATAAATACTTAGCCGCGTCCAACGATTCCCTAGAATTTTTTTTCCCATCCGTTAGAGTCCTATTCCTTGTAATCCAATCCTGTCAAGGATTTAAATAAAATAAAGACACAGGGAATATAAAAAGAGCGGCCGAGAGCGCATCCTGCACGAGCAGGTGCGTTCCCGTTGATTTCCTGCTCCACGCGTCGGAAGCGGTTCCGAGGAGGGAGCGAACTCGCTGACGAGGAACGTTTTTGATCTGTTCACAGTTTCCCACAAAAGATGGAGCGGCCCTCGCACACCGGAAGCCTGGGCCAGGTCCACGGGAGCGGGATGCAGCACGGGGTCTACTCTTCCGGGAGCCAGGCGACGCTTTCGACATCCTACATCACGGGCCAGTCGTACATCCAGAGTCAGAATTACGTACACAGCTCGTACCCGGCCACGTCCCAGGCTTACCCTCACTACGGCCAGTCGCAGAATTACGGGACCCTCGGCCAGGGCTACAACACCCAGGCCCAGCAGGGCTACCAACAGGCCCACCACAAAAAGGGCCCCGTCAGGAACGGCGACGTCCTCAAGCGCTGCAGACTCCAGACGGCGTAAGCACTCGAGTCGTTCCTTCTCGACCCACCTCGGGAAATCCTCGATCCATTGGCGACGAATCTCGGTTCGAAGGCCGATCCGATACATAATTGGGGCCATGTACGGGCAATTTCGAGCGTGGGCCGTAAAAAGGACGGGTTTCGTCGATTAGCGATCCACAGCCTTGGGACGGAGTTTCTGAGAGGCGCGCTTATCGAGCCGAAGTGGGGAAGAGATCCGAAGTGGCGGATGAAAGGGAAGAGGAGGATCGGTGACGGTTCAGGGCGGGCAGATCGAAAAGAGATCGGATTCGAGGGCATTAAAGGGGGCCGCCGTTTCCTATCGACCGTGGCTGGGAAACGGCAGCGAATTCGAGCGGAGAGAATTTTTTTAAACGTTCCTTCGGTTTCTAAATCTCGTCATCGGCTCGTCCAAGTCGCGGAACGTCGTAGGTCAAGGCGGCAGTCTCGTCGCGTTTGGCCTTTGGAAAAACGAGCCGGCCATCGCGCGGCTCGAAACGCTGAATAATTCAACGCCTCGCGAACGTCAGCCGCGGTGTCACGGGTTTTCGAATAATGGCGTTATTGTCGCTCGTCGCTTTGCCGTCGATGGATTTTCTCGTTATTGCTCGACGGCGGTAACGTCGTTTCGAACGTGTCGTACAATGGCGACGAGGCACCCGTTACGGCCCAGAGAGTCTTCCTACCTCGACTCGGATTCTCTCGGGATCCTTCGTGAACTCGATGTAGATAAATTGACAAATTTTCTAAATTTAACGAAAGATCTCTCAAGATCCTCGTTGACGTCTCTCGTTCTCCACAGGTACGAGCTCTCGCAGGATCTATTGGACAAGCAAATCGAAATGCTGGAAAGGAAATACGGGGGAGTAAAAGCGAGGAACGCGGCCCTGACGATACAGCGGGCCTTCCGGAGGTACACGCTGCTGAAGAAGTTCGCGGCGATCACCGCGATGGCGAAGGCGGAGAAGCGACTGAGCAGGAAGCTCCAGGACTCGGCCGACCGGGCCGGGAACCCTCCGGAGGCCGAACGAGTGGCCTACCACGGGCAGATTTACGTCCAGCAGCCGCAATCGACGAGTCGACCCATGCCCATCAGGAGCATGTCCCTGAGGGAGAGGAGGCCCCTCGACGGGTCCCAGTCTCCCATTCCCAGGAGCCAGAGCGGTCGCTGCGAGATTCAGATGACCCCTGGGCACCAGGTCAACGCCGGACACCAGATGAGCAACCACGCTCTCCACCAAACCGGACGACACACGCCCTCTCTGACCCCGAGCCCCTGCGCGAGGCACCAGCCTCCCCCGAGTCCTTGCTGGGACTCCAGCTCTCAGGAGAGCGGATCCAGCATCCACTACTACAATCCTCAGGAAACGCTGTGCGGCCTGCGGCAAGAGACACCCCCCAGGGACCTGCACAGAACCCCGTGCACCTCGCCCTCGACCCCCCACAACCTGCAGACCCCTCTGGCCCAGTCCTGGGGCACCTCGTCTCAGCTGGGCTCGGGGGGACGAGCCAGGGGATCTGGGAAAAAAGTCCCGCCGGAAGTCCCCAAAAGGACCTCCTCGATCACCTCGAGGTCCATGGAGCCCCGGCACAACGGCCTGAGCAAGAGCGTCGAGAACGGAAGTCTCAGTTCCGTTCAGAGTTCCGGCAGCGATTCGACCAATTGCGAGAGCTCCGAGGGCGACGTTCACAGAGGGTCGCCAATTTGGAAGCACAAGGGAATCGTAAGTGTCCGAATTGTTATTGCATGGCGGATATTTACCGTGTGTGCGTCCGTGCGGGGAATTTCGTCAATTGAGCCTGACGTCCCGTTTAAATTTATTGCGATTAAAAAGACGTCGCTAGGGCGCGCTCCGGTTGAGAGGGAGATTTCTTGTAAATCGTTAATGAGGATTTTGGTATTAAGATAATGATTCGCGCATATATACGCTAATATTCTTCTTTACGAAGGCGTAGCAAAGGCGATGTATATAGAGAGAGTATATAATTGAAGTAGGAATTATATACTCTTTAAAATGCGAAATGTAAAATTCTTTCTCATTTACTCATTAGATGAAGATATTCAGAGTCGAAATCTCTTGCAAGAAACATTTGCATTCCTCGCTCTCTATTAGCAACGACATAAACTAATATTCAAATAAATCACATCATTTAGGCTGGTGTTTATTTCACCATGCTAATGTAGATGGCGCAGAGTAAATAAGTTTCTCAAATGCAAGTATCGCCAGACCCAAGTTATTTTCAGTTTGGGTATAGGCAATCTTCGCAATGCACAGTATTAATATCCATATTTTAATTTTTGAAAAGACAAATATCCGACTTTTTACATTTGTCATAACACCGTAAAATGAAAAGACTTCTAAATTATTTACGTTAACATATTGTACCTAAGACAAACATACCTGAAAAGGGGAATGCTCATTAATTTAAATAGGAAAGTTTTATCTTAAATTATGAAGGTTTGAAAGACAGATGAGCCCTGCTACCCCTTTGACAGCGAAAGGCATATACTGTATGTATTAAAAATGAACACGTTTTAAACAGCATTATCCCTGTAGAAAAGTCCCATACTATTTTTTTTTTATATAAAATGCATAGTTTACCTGTAATAATTAATGGAAAAATAGTCAATAAGGCGTGTCGATTAGCCAAACGCGTTTCAGGTGCGCTCTGCTATTTGCAACATAAAAGCAAGACAACTTTGAGCTCTTCAATTTACGTTTCGCAAATAGACACACCTGATCGGCTATGTTACAGTTGATTATTACAGGTAAAATTGTACACTGTAGAAAAATATAGTACAGGACTTTTCGACATGAATAGCGTCGTATAAACCGGGTCCACCGTTTTTAATACACCCTGTATACCGTAGTTTATTTTAATAAGTCCTTTCTAGGCCAACTAGTTGGAAGTAAATTATTCCATTATTGCATGACGTGACTAACAGAGGGCGCAACTGCAAAGAATTTCTCAAAAGTAAACCATGGGATAAACTTCTTTATGTACCATTAAATTAGTATACCACTTCATGCATTTCTCGGTGATATTCATATCCATAAAATCAATTTTTGTAGCAGAGAAGTCAAGTTATTTGTACTTTTTTTAATGTCCAAAACAAATTACACAAAAATATTACTCCAATTGTGACAGTGAACGAGCATGAAAGCAGGTACGAATGTGATATGACTTTTGATGTAAACTAAGTGCTTTTCTAAACCAACTGGTTGAAAATAAACTGCTATTAATTCCTAACGTGACCAACAGAGGGCGCAATAGCAAAGAATTTCTCAAAAGTGAACCACGTGATAAACTCCTTCATATACCTTACATTAGTATATCGCTTTATGCAATACTCAATGATATTCATATCCATAAATTTTTGAAGCAGCATTTACTCTTTTTCGACGTTTAAATCAAATTACAATAAAATATTACATCGTCGCCCTCCGTTTAAGAGCCTAAATATTTCGTGCGTAATTCGTTGCTCGATTTCAATAAAATATGATTCTTTTGTTAACAGTCAAGCTCTCCGGAGCACCAAGAATGCGGCCATCCAGCGGAGAACAACAGCGGGATGAGCAGCGGCAAAGATCTCAATCATTCCCATGCCAGCTCGGGGTACCAGCTTCCGTTGATGGACCACACGGAAGCGCCTCCTCAAACCACTTGCAAAGTATCCGAAACCGTCAGGAAGCGTCAGTACAGAGTCGGCCTGAACCTCTTCAACAAGAAGCCGGAGAGGGGAATCAACTACCTGATAAGACGAGGCTTTTTGGAGAACAGCCCCCAGGGAGTGGCCAGATTCCTTATCAGCAGGAAAGGACTGTCCAAACAGATGATCGGCGAATATCTTGGGAATCTGCAGAACACGTTCAACATGGCCGTGCTAGAGTAAGTGTTTTACTATTATTTGTCAATTTTCTGGCAACTTATTTTCTTTCTTCGATTCGCCGCAGGTGCTTCTCGCACGAGCTGGACCTATCGGGGATGCAGGTGGACGTGGCGTTAAGGAAGTTCCAGGCGTACTTCCGAATGCCAGGAGAGGCCCAGAAGATCGAGCGACTCATGGAGGTGTTCAGCCAACGCTACTGCCAATGCAATCCTGACGTGATATCCAGGTTACGCTCCGCGGACACCGTCTTCGTCCTGGCCTTCGCCATCATCATGCTCAACACCGACTTGCACACCCCGAACCTGAAACCTGAGCGCAGAATGAGGCTCGACGACTTCGTGAAGAACTTGAGGGGAATCGACGACTGCGGCGACATCGATAGAGACATTCTCGTTGGGATCTACGAGAGAGTCAAAGCGAACGAATTTAAGCCCGGCTCGGACCACGTCACCCAGGTGATGAAGGTCCAGGCCACGATCGTGGGAAAGAAGCCGAACATGGCTCTACCCCATCGAAGACTAGTCTGCTACTGCAGGCTCTACGAAATACCCGACATCCATAAAAAAGAGAGGCCCGGGGTCCATCAGAGGGAGGTCTTCCTCTTCAACGACCTCTTGGTGGTCACCAAGATCTTGAGCAAGAAGAAGAACAGCGTCACTTACACCTTCAGGCAGAGCTTCCCCCTTTGCGGCATGATTGTCACGCTCTTCGAAGTTCCCCGTTAGTAAAACTTCTTCGTTGACTCGTTAAGACCGGAGGGAAAGCGCGCGTCTGGCCAGCGTACATTTCCCTCGCATCTTAATAGGCGATTAAGTATTCGTTCTCTTCTTTTTCCGTACCACGAAAGCCTTTGACCGATTCAACGTCTATTTCTTCTCTTCCAATCTTGCCGGATTAATTGCCGTGAAGTAATGAATTAGATGAGTTGCAGATACAGATCGGTCGGATTTTATGTGCAGTGAAATGTATGCAGATTGGAGCACTTTCCCAATTTTCCAGTGCGAGGCATTTCTTCGTTACCCTCGTTCGTTTGATTTGATTTCAGACTATCCTTACGGGATAAAGCTCTCGCAGAGAGTCGACGGAAAGGCGCTGGTGACGTTCAACGCCCGGAACGAGCACGACCGGTGCAAATTCGCGGAAGATCTGCGGGAGTCCATCAGCGAGATGGACGAAATGGAGACCCTGAGGATCGAGACGGAGCTCGAGCGGCAGAAGAGCAGCCGAGGTGCCAGGGGAAGTGCCGAGAACCGCGACTCCGGGGTCGCCGACGTCGAGGTCTGTCCCTGTCCTGGTCCCTGTCTGGAGAGATCCGAGGCCGTCGACGTGGACACGCAGCTTAAGCGCTCCGCTCTTAGCAACTCTCTCCTTGACATACACGAGCAGTGTGAGTGTTCGATTCCTCTCCGTGAATTATCGGCGAAGTGCGAAGAGTCGCACGCTGTAAATCGGCGCGTCCTAAAGTTCCTCCGATCTTGGTGCTCGCGCCATATCGGACGAGAATAACGTGTACGTTTTTCTGCTTTCAGTCGCTGGAGAGAAACCGCAACGCCGTGGTAGCGTGGGTTCCTTGGACAGCGGTATGTCGATTTCATTTCAATCTACTTCCGCCAGCTCGATGAGCCAGGGCGTGAAACACCCGGGCCAGGTTCACTCTGTGCACCCTGGAGCTACGATCCCTGGCGGTAAAGGGTTGTCACAGCAGCCGTCTTTTTTAGGGGGCCTATTCGCCAAGCGTGAACGAAAGCTGTCCCAGTCCGAGGACACTAGCCCGTACAGCCGCACCACCGAAGTCTAATCGAGTACTTCGACGTGTCTTGTAACGTACATTGGTTTCATGAGCGCGCACCGGAAATGGGCAGATTTTATTTATATCACTTTCCGTTTTAATTACCTTGCCGTTTATTTCGGTGTATACGTGGAAACGCGAAAAGCCTTTTATTTGCAATCATTCGCGATTTAGCGCGATCAGTAATTGAAAACTTGTAATGACTTTTAAGGGTGTTTAATTATGCCCATCTCTGGTGCGCGTACTCACAGAGGAACGCGTACGCACAGGGGCAGGCCAACGAAAAATGATCAGTTAGTTTTCTCTCGAACCAAAAAACTATCTCGAAATACCTTCCAGGTTACTATACGTAAGGTTTTAGAGAGTTGGAAAGGCTGACAATAGTTGTAGCGACTCAACGTTTAGAGTTTGTATACCTCGTTGACCAGTTTTCCGGGAGATGTGAACGAGTTTATTAATGGGGAATCTATACTATGGACTAATTAGATGTCGTACCGCTACCTTCTATCGTGGACACTTTGTTACATTGCCTAGGGTGGTACAATTTTGACTCTTTTGGCTCTGGAATTTTTTCGAAACTCTGGAAGAATTAACTCTACCCTCCCTTTTTTTCCCGCTATTTGACAAACGAGGGTGTAATATTCGACGCTATTAAAATTCAAATTTGCCCGCGTCTGTAAAATATATCAGGGCCAAAAGGATTGACAGATCGAGTAATGAATAAACGGCAATTTTAAAGTTGAAGCGAATATAGCTGCAATAAAGTCGTCCGATCATACATTTTTAATGATATAGAAACACTTTGTGAAACTCTCCAACTCTTGCTCAGGGTACTCGTTACCACCCCTTTTGTTTAAAAGTAAAAATAGTTAATAACTAAATGATCATTCTAACTGGTCCTTCCTGTTATCTACTGTACATGTATGATGCAAATATTATATTCTTTACAGAATTTGTTTAATGCACCCTGCACGTTGTGGGTCGTATATGTCATCATGGATTTTTCTCGATTTTTGTTTTTAACATTTTGCATCAAACTTGACTTTAGTCTTTTATGGTCATTGAAGAACATTGCAGTAATTCTCTTGCTTTCCGCTAAAAGTCAAGGTTTGATAAGTGCAATTTTATTAATGTTCTCCCCCTTAAGATACGAGAATCTGTACCTCGGTACATCACAAGATAATGCGTACGTTGATTTAATTAACGGTGGTATATAAAATGCATGCATAATAATTTTCTTTCCCAAGTGCGGTAGTCAGTTGGCGGTGTGTCCTCCTCGTGTAAGTTTATTTACGCCTCTGCTAGCTGTAACAGTTCGCATAATCGTTTTAATTCTTATTTATTCTGTCTCTGTATATAAATATAGCATTAACTACAAATGGACAAGTTATTCTTCTCTGGATAAAAAGTTTTAATGATAGGCAGAAATTCCAAATTCAGCACGTTTCTAACAACGGCAATTTCACACATTTATTGCTTTTTCGTAATTGTATAGACCTCTCGTTTTTTCATTTCTCCCAGAACACCTTTTCGCTCGTACATTCGATGTTTCAAACGATACAACAATCTTCGTCAATTTTACGAAGCATCGTTAATATCCCATATTTCCTCGTGTTTCTATAAATTTTTCATATCTATCAACAAACGTTTCCTGTTGGAATGAAACGATTACTGCAATATTATACATCACTACACGAGAGGGAAATAATTGATAAGACTTCCATGATTAATACGCTCTCATTTTCATTATCCCTACACGAGAGTCATGACAACCAAAGTGGGAAAAATTACATGAATAATGTATAAAATGCAGATATTATTTAGAGTCCGAATTTGGGCGTACAAAACATGCTCATGATTTTATCAAACGTATATCTTCAAGTTAAAAGTTATACATGCATTTCCTGCAGAATATTTCATGAATGATTAATATAATAAATCACGAATATGTAATCAAGATGTGGAATATACATATACATATGTTCCTTAAAAGTAAGCATCGATAACGATAAAGATTATTATAAAAACTGAAATGTTCTGAACACCCAATGCCGGACATGATATCATTTTATGCGTGATCTGTATAATTTTTCCACCGGGGAGAATAGCACGTATACGAAGTGCTCCCAAAGAAAAGAAAAAATGAAATATTATAAAATTTGCAATAAGTCAGCGTCATGCGGGAAATCTTTCTGATCAGGCAGGATCCGATCAGGTGGGTTTCGAATTTGAAGAAAATTAAATTAATCCTCCCACCCAATTTACGCGTACTATTTATTCGTCGAAGGATTGTTGGATCCCCCTTCGTTCGCTGTTTATAGGTCCGAAATAAAGATTTGTAACATAATCCGTTCGTGTGTAGATATATATAGAGTTATTAATTCGGACCGGTGTATTTGTACATCGCGAAATGATCGTACGCATACCCTGCGGAATCGGTCCTAAGTAGATCTTAAGGGATTAAATTAAAATATACATGAGAAATAATTAACGACGGACTCATAAGTTGGGACCGAGGATGATTACTTATCAGTGGTCAGTGTTAAGTCAGAGATTATTACATAAGTATTATTCCATTACCTATGCCCTACATTTACATCACCTTCATCATCATCGTCGATTATTTGTAAATAATAGGCACGTAACACCTGTACAATTTATCCTGTACAATGATTGCAGTCTAAGTCGCTTACGATTACTATTGATGTTAGATGCATGTTGATGTTACAAAATATCAAGGAAGCGGTTGGAGATGTCTTGTTATCGAGATACAAACCTAGAAATCTGAAGTCTTATCAGATCGTGGAAGTAAAACGCATATGTATAATTAATCGACCAGATTTTCACGCCGAAGAAATGCAGTTTTCATGTTATTTATAATATCTTTGATTTTAAAAGGGAATATATTTTTAATGATAATATTTTATAAGTTCAGTTCATGAGATGCGTGTTACACTTAATTTGTCATGTTTTATCCAGGTTTTGTATGTCGATGTCATGAGACTCCTATCAGCTCATTAGTTCGAATTGAGAGTGCAGCGACAATTTAGTTATGATATAAACGATGTAACTTCGCTCTGAAATTCTGTCGAGAATTAATCGTCATGTACATAACATTGCTGATTGTAATACGAACAGTTAATAAATACAAGGTACGATTAAAACCAATAATTTTCTAAGGATGAATCTCGTTATTTCTTGGTCCTTATTAGTATACCCTTGTAGGTGGGAAGTACCATCTTTGCTATGCCCTACATACAGCTCTAGGAAATAATATGTAATTAACTAACGGCGCAACTCAACGTGCTTCTCGAAAGAGAATAAGGTACTGCATTGAAAAAGGAACAATAAAATTTTGCGATTTTCACGACCTTCATTAGGATCTCCATAATCATGTGTTAAAGTTTCAAATTATTCGGTGTACCCGGTTTGGAAAAAAGTTTTATAAATATTTTGACTTTATGACTAGCCTTAGAAAATACTAATTAACAAGAACAATTACGATCGAGTCCAATCGGTCTTCACTTGCCTGCGTATATCGAATGCACAATAGGTCTTGATGGGGACACTATATACACACACAGTAGAGACTCTGTACAAATACGCAAATTACTTTACCGCGCTACCACAGAGGGCTACTCCACATCCCGTTTCTCCCAAATGAGTTAAGCGGCATTAAAGTTAAATTTGGTTCAATCACGAACTATTTCAGCAATACTTAGTGTTAAACATATCCATATCAATTTTTGAGAAAAAGGTGTTATTTTTGCCATGTTGTGAGGAAATAAAAACAGATATTAATCACGGTTTCATGTAATGTTAATTTATTGATAAAAAATGAAAACATATTTACAGATATTTTTATTTCCAATTTTTGGCGTAAAAAAGAGTGCATATCTCATTGTATGGTTTTTTCCTTATCTAAAATATATTTACAATGTGTTACTTGTATGACTCGTAATTAATAAACAACACTTAAACAGATGTACTTTACAGTTTTGTCATTTATTTTTCCGATAATTCCTCTATTTAAGTCACCTTCTGTTGAAATCCATGATGTATATATATGTTACATATACTGTATTCATAATGACAAGACTCACTTCCCAATGTATAAATTCACTTAAAATTAGCATAATTTGGTTCTACCTACTGAGCTGGACCTAGAATATCCAAATTTGGCGTGGTATCTTGAACATTGCGATAGGCTATCATATATTCGGACACTGATATGTAAAATCCAACAAGTAGTCCAATTACACTCGCCACATATACATTACGTTGCAAAATGATACAGGTCGCTACGCAAAGCCCAAAATATGTTGCATATCTTGCTATGTTCTCCTGCTTTTTACGTCCAAGAAGGTCTGAATCTACAGAAAATAATTCAATAAAATTCATCACACCATAGTCATTATTAATTAATAATGCATCAAATGGGCTATTGTTTCTGCCATATTTTGAGAAAGCAAGACTACTTACTAATGCATAGATTATCTTTTTTATGGTATCCATGAGCACAGTTTATGCACATGTCAGGGCCATCTCCTGTACAACCTTCACATGCTATATCGCAACCTGAAAGAAAATTTGGTTGTACTTTTGAACAAAATCTTCAATAATGAATACATCATATGTAGAATACATCACTACCTAGACATGAATATGAACCCTCCTTATTCACACAGAATTGATTTCCTGGACAGTATTTGCTACTCTCGATGCATTCGTCTATGTCAAAACAACCTTCGTTCTCAACCATTTGCCATCCTTTCTGACATTTTTCACAATTTCGAGGTCCAGCTTCTGTACAAGAACCATCGCAGGCAGGATGGCACGGAGAACAGAGCAGCATAGAATTACCTCGATAAGCTTCATAATATCCCACAGAACACTGGGAACAATCTTCGCCTTTATATCCTGGATCACAAATACATTGACCGCTTCCTTTCCTCGTTCCAGTTCCTTTACACTTTCCGTTTTTACCACAAATATTATTTGGGTAGCCTAAACATGGTTTACACTGAGGACCATAATGATCCTTCGGACAACATCGCTCAGACTTTCCGATACATAAATATTTAAATAAATCTGGCTCGGCATCCTGCTGCTTAAACCACCACTCTTCTATAAATGCTTCAAAATCTTCGGCTAGCGTGTGACATTGGTTTTCTCCCCGTTCCAAATCTTTGCATAAGTTTTCTTGAATTTCAATAAGCCGTACCTCGCTTCGAGCATAAGTACCTAACTTGTCCTCTTCCCAAGCGCTGTCTCCACCCTCAAACTTTCCACGACTCGTATTCTCCATTCCCTATAATCAATATTTTATAACAAAATCAACAAATCCCCTTCACTATTATATAAAACTAAAATGAAACTAAAACCAAGCTCGACGAGCCACTAAAAATCCTCACGTGAATTCGAATTCTCCTCTGCGTGAGAGACATTTATGTCAAGATTAGAACGCAAAGTAAAAGTGAAAACTATAAACAATCTAACAAAACACGTGTTCTTGTGAAAATACGATAACAAGAGCTAACTTTTTTGAAACTCTCCACGAGTCTTTTGCAAGCAGCACAGGAAGGTAGCATTTCGTCTTTGAGGGCCTCCTTCCTCGGAGAAGAGGATTTCTTACTCCGGACTGCGAATACCGGATGCACGAAAACACAGCAGACGAAAAGAAGAGCAACAACGGCAATTTCTCGCATATTCTCGCCAAGATAAGTCTCCTTCTTGACGACGTTCCGTCGGCGCGGTTCGCACTGCTTCAGGAGAAATTATCTAAAATTATGCAAATTATGAATTCACAACGCGAATAGCGTTTCGATGGAAAAACAGATGCCCGAACAAACGTTGCCGCACAACGGCCATCGTCCGCCATGGTGTCACCGACCGCCTAAATACTTCAATTCTTACGAGAATATCTCATCAGGTTTCTCGTCAGAAGGGGTCAAGGGAGGAAGCAAGAGACCTCTCCATATTCCTCGCACTAGACTGCTCGCATATGCAGTGACGATAAAAGACTGTGTTATCCTCCCATCAGACTGCAAAAATGCATAGTTGCATGAGAAGCGTCATATATTCCGAAAGATGTTTTAAGGTTTTTAAATATAAGAAAATATTTTATTTTATGATACCACGCTTTAGTAATTTTGTTTTAAGAAAAAATCTGGGACGGGTATCGGGATGACGGAGTAGGGATAAAGAATGAGGCATTGTTGGTGTCAGTAGATTGGTTTTGCGTGCACCTATCAGAGATCGTGGAGTGGAACCACGCGCTGGTGATATTCGACCCTGACCAATCAGAGGGCACCGCGTGCTGCGACAGAGTGTCAAGGGAGAGGGGATAACAGCTTGCAACATGGATTTTTGGTTTCAATTCAGTGCTTGAATGTTGGCCGCAGTGCCGGCAATTCATGGTTTATCGCAGGCTGGGTAAATGAAATACCTTTGGAAATATACGTAGTTAATTATAGTAAATTACTTATTCTACGTGATATTCGTCGGAAACATCGAGTGACGCGTCGTTACCCATCTCTGGTTTATCGTATTAGAAAAATCTTTGAGGGCAACCTATGAGTTTGAACGACGCTTCCAGTGATTTATTTCGTGAAAAGGAATTTCTCCGAGTGGAGATGGCGCTCGGATATAAATCCGAATGCATGGAAGTGCTGCCCCTCTATACCGATTGTGTCGAATTGACTCGTGGCTCGAGTTAGCCGAGTGACGTGTCGCTGCGATTATTTGAGGGAGGTTATGAGGTTTCAATTTAATTATCGAAAAATACATTCAACATGTTAACCAAATTCGAGACGAAGTCGGCTCGTGTAAAAGGCCTTTCTTTCCACCCTAAACGCCCGTGGGTTCTCGCCAGGTAAGCACGCGTTTCGATTACTTTTTATTTTCCCAATTGTTGCTGCTATCCTTTTAACAATTGATCCTTAAGGTAGAACGTGGAGGCTACTTTGTTTCAAATTAGTGCAGTTTGTTTTAAGTAAAGCATATATTACGATTAAATGTATAATTAAATGATTTGTTGAAATGACGACATAACCTAATGAACTTACAGTGAAAAAGTAATAACTGATAAAGCCTTGGGTGTTACTAGTGCGTTAAGAAATAATTTCAATACCACAAGTAATTACGTTAAACAAATTATTATTACCCTGCCACCCTTCTTAAAAAACCTGTATTGTAATTATAGCAATCAAGGTTTTGTAACAATATTATGTACATTTTTGGATATCAAGATTTTCCATTTTCAAAATTCCATTGTTTATGTGCACAGTCTCGGTCAATCAAGTCTAAATTCGCTTATTGTCATTTATTCGGTTTTCGAATTTTCCTGAGAATTAGATTTGCCATTCATTTCTGCTGCCATGGAAGTAATTTCTGCGGAAACCGTAGTAGCTTCCTTCACTGTTTTTGCCTCGGTTGTCGATGACATCACCTTCTCATCCAAAGATTTCTTTTCACTGATCATTGTGACAGGTTTCACCTTTCCATTGATTTCTTGGTCCTTGGAATTCAAAATTTGACCATCCCCATTTTCTTTCTTATCACTTTGGAATAATCCATTAAAGGTGTTCCCAACTGGTCCGAACTGTGAATGTTGATAAGCAAGTGGTACGAACGAACTGTACAAAGACTGGATGTAAGGAGTACTCTTCAGATAAATTTGGTCACCGCCATTTACGTGCAAGAAGTCCTGATTGTATAGAGAATAAAATTGATTTGTTAAATCACTTGGTGTTTCATAAAATCCAGAAAAAAGACCCGGATACTGGGCCTGGGGAAAATTGAATCGGAAAATAGGATACGGCTGTTGAAATGACAGCAACTGTTGATCGATCTGCTTACTTCCTGCTTCTTTTGATGCTGGCTCAGCAGATTTTTCTACCATTTTGGAATTTTCGTCCATAGTCGATACTTTATCAGGTTTCTCAGAGTTTTCGCTCAAAACTGTTGATGTTTCATTTTTTAAAGACTTTGTGTCTTCGGTAGCTCCATTCAAGGTAACACTCTTAACATTTTGAGTGGGTTGCGTTCTTGTGACCTCTATTTTTACTTGATCGAATGAATCAGGACCAACGACAAAGAATACTCTGCTGTTTCCGCCTGTCGAGTCATCGATCGTGTATGAATAACCACGAAAAATTGCAGTTGGTTCTTGAGAACTATAGATAAACGTAGGGGTGCTCGAGGATGGGTCACCAAATCCTTCATATGGGATATCGAGGACTGCTATCGATCTGGAGATTGCTAGAATAATCTGAGATAATGAAAATGTATCAATAAAAAATTGCTGGCGTGATTCCAAACAGCACAGTATGTTTCATAAAGTAAATTACCATAATGTTACTTACGAAAATCACGGTGTGGTAAAACACTGTCATCTTTAAACACGTATGGTTGTCAAATCGAACGAAATCACCGAAAGAAGTAAAGGCTCTGCGATTTTTTGACCGATCTATATAGACTTAGTGGTTCTTACCCCACCAGTTTTGTAACATACACAATTCGGGCTCCTCACGCATTGACCTGAATTTTTATACGTAGCCTGGGGCTCTCCTTCGATCCTTGGTTTGTCCTTTTTCTCATACCCGATTATTTCTTAAAAATTATTCAAGCTTATGTTTGTAAGTAATTACGCACGCCTACCTAATTATTTTACCGGCTTATTACCGCGATACAAATCTAAATCAAATAATCCCTTCCTTTAATACCGATTAATTGACAAAAAAATTGGAGTCAGTTTTATTTTTAGGAGCGTCTTAAGTTGTCGCATATAATTTAAACGATTACGTGCTCTATAATCCTTGAAAAAAAATATAGGACGACTTGTACGTCACGGACACATTATTGTAACTTAATTGCGTAAATTATATCCAGCTCAATATGTATAAAGATTAGATTAACGGACTCTCCCATTTTAACTTGCTCGGCCTTCGACTGCATTTTTTACTGCTCCTACGTTATTCTCTGTCCATGAATCTCAAGTGTTAATGTATATGAAAAGAGGATAAAGTTCCATGGGCGTGGTTTGCAGGCGGTAACGCTCAAAACTGGAAGAAGCACTTTCACCTCTACCGTTTAAGTCTGCATCAATTTTGAGAGGGCGCCTACCTATAAGAAATTGTTACTGCACATCGATTATAAGTTATCGCGATTTCATCTCATTGTTATCGCAATTATTCACGTAGAAAGTCGTCTATTATTTGCACCCGTTTATCGATGGGTTTGCCAAAATCAATTGGTAATTCGATTTGCCACGAGAGATCCGCTCATGCTCCATATGGCACAAAATCAAGTTATTTTCATTTCCTTAATTCTTTTTTTTAGTTTGCACAATGGAGTTATCCAACTGTGGGACTATCGCATGTGCACGTTGCTGGACAAATTCGACGAGCACGATGGCCCCGTACGAGGTATCTGCTTCCACAATCAGCAACCGCTGTTCGTATCGGGAGGTGACGATTACAAAATCAAGGTATGGAACTACACCCAGCGCAGGTGCATCTTCACCCTGATGGGCCACTTGGACTACATCAGGACCACCATGTTCCACCACGAGTACCCGTGGATCCTCTCGGCGTCCGACGACCAGACGATCCGCATCTGGAACTGGCAGAGTCGTACCTGCATCTGCGTGTTAACGGGGCACAATCACTACGTGATGTGCGCCCAGTTCCATCACTCGGAGGACATCATCGTCTCGGCGTCCCTGGACCAGACCGTCAGGGTGTGGGACATCTCAGGGTTGCGCAAGAAGAACGTGGCCCCTGGTCCCGGAGGACTCGAGGACCACCTGAAGAACCCAGGGGCCACCGACCTGTTCGGCCAAGCGGATGCAGTCGTTAAACACGTGCTCGAAGGTCACGATCGCGGCGTCAATTGGGCCTGCTTTCATCCCAACTTACCTTTGATAGTCTCGGGTGCCGATGATCGACAGATCAAAATGTGGCGGATGAACGACACGAAGGCTTGGGAGGTGGACACCTGCAGAGGCCACTACAACAACGTCTCCTGCGTTCTGTTCCATCCCAGACAGGATTTGATCCTGTCGAACTCCGAGGACAAGAGCATCAGAGTCTGGGATACCGCCAAGCGCACCTGCCTGCACACCTTCAGAAGGGAGCATGAGAGGTTCTGGGTCCTCGCGGCTCATCCGACCTTGAATCTATTCGCTGCCGGCCACGATACCGGCATGATCATCTTTAAGTTGGAAAGGGAACGACCGGCCTATGCGGTGTATGGAAATTTATTGTACTACGTGAAGGAGAGGTATCTGCGGAAGCTGGATTTTACCACCTCGAAGGATACCTCGGTCATGCCCATCAGAGGAGGTGGCAAGATTCCTGCTTACAGTCTCTCGTACAATCAGGCGGAGAACGCCGTGTTGATCTGCACGAAATTGCCGTCCAATATCGAAAACAGCACGTACGACTTGTACATGATCCCTCGAGATGGGGATTCCAGCAGCGATCCCGAGACGAAGAGGGCTTCCGGAGTGACCGCCATCTGGGTCGCCAGAAACCGCTTCGCCGTGCTCGACAGGGGGTATTCCGTATGTTTGATTTGACCAAGGAGATTAACTTCGCATGCTTTACGGTATCCCGTGAATAATGAAATCATAATTAATTTCCATTTCTTTCAGCTGGTCATCAAGAACTTGAAGAACGAGGTCACGAAGAAGGTGCAGATCCCGAACTGCGACGAGATATTCTACGCGGGTACCGGGATGCTGCTGCTTCGCGACGCGGATCAGGTAATTCTCTTCGACGTGCAGCAGAAGAGGACCCTGGCCGAAGTAAAAATCTCAAAGTGTCGCTACGTGGTCTGGGCAAACGACATGTCTCACGTGGCTCTGTTGGCGAAGCATACCGTGAATATTTGCAACAGGAAGCTGGAGTCCTTGTGCTCGATTCACGAGAACACTCGAGTCAAGTCCGGTGCTTGGGACGACTCGGGAGTATTTATTTATACGACCAGCAATCACATCAAGTACGCGATTTATAACGGAGATCATGGAATTATTCGCACTCTGGATCTGCCGATTTACGTGACCAGAGTGAAGGGAAATCAGGTGTACTGCCTGGATAGAGAATGCAGACCGAGGATCCTGAGGATCGACCCCACCGAGTACAAGTTCAAGCTAGCTTTAATCAACAGAAAGTACGAGGAGGTCTTGCACATGGTTCGCACCGCAAACCTCGTGGGTCAGTCGATCATCGCTTATTTGCAGCAGAAAGGCTATCCCGAGGTCGCTCTGCACTTTGTCAAGGACGAGAAGACGAGATTCGGACTCGCTTTGGAGTGCGGCAACATCGAAGTCGCCCTGGAAGCCGCGAGAACTTTGGATCAGAAAGCTTGCTGGGAGAGCTTGGCTCAGGCCGCGCTTTTACAGGGAAATCATCAGGTTGTCGAGATGTGCTATCAGAGGACGAAGAACTTTGAAAAACTGGCATTCCTGTATCTGATCACAGGCAACCTAGACAAGCTACGCAAGATGACGAAGATCGCCGAAATTCGGAAAGACGTCTCCGGACAGTACCAAGGAAGTTTACTTTTAGGAGATATTTATGAACGAGCGAAAATCCTGCGGGTATGTATTTTATTAAAAATTGCTGGGTTGTATATATGTTTCAATTTCAGATACAGTGTACTTTTTTTTTTTAATGCTACGTATGTTTCCTTGAACAGAACTCTGGTCAGACGTCGTTGGCGTATGTAACCGAAAAGATCCATGGCATCTCCAATGAGGATGACGATTCGCAATATGAATCTATGAAGGATGAACTGTCCGATCTTGAAAAGGGAGCGATGTACTTGAGACCACCTGTCCCGGTTCAACAGGCAGAGAACAATTGGCCATTGCTGACGGTATCGAAGGGCTTCTTCGAAGGTGCTATGATGTCCAGAGGCAAGAGTCAGGTCGCTGCAGCTCTGGCACCGGAGGAGGACACGGGTCCTGTCGAAGGCTGGGGTAACGAAGACGAGCTAGGATTAGATGACGAAGAAGGTGGCGAAGCACAGCCAGAAGTCGAAGGTGAGGAAAATCCTGGTTGGGACGTGGAAGACCTGGATCTACCTCCAGAATTGGAGTCCAATGTTGTTGCTACGGAAGATGGATATTACTCTCCTCCGACGAAAGGAATCCCAGCGACTCAACATTGGATCAACAATTCCCAGCTAGCTGTCGATCATGTATTAGCTGGTTCCTTTGAATCAGCTTTCGCCTTACTCAGTGATCAAGTTGGCATTGTCGAGTTCAGTGCTTACGAATCGCTGTTCCTGAACACGTACGCTCGTTCGCGCACGTCATTCGCGTGTCTTCCAAACATTCCATCGCTTTATGCGTTTCCACAGAGAAATTGGAAAGATGCAACGCCGAAAACCGGACTACCAGCTGTAGGACTGCGTTTGACAGATTTGGTGCAAAGACTGCAAGTGTGCTACCAACTTACTACTGGTGGAAAGTTCGGAGAAGCGATAGAAAAATTGCAAGCGATCCTATTAAGCGTGCCCTTGTTAGTTGTCGATACTAGACAAGACATTGCCGAAGCCACACAGCTGATTCAAATCTGTCGAGAGTATATACTAGGATTGAAAATGGAAACGCAACGAAAGAATCTACCCAAGACTACGTTGGCTGAACAAAAGAGAGTTTGCGAGATGGCTGCATATTTCACTCATTGCAATCTTCAACCGGTGCATCAAATACTCACCTTGAGGACCGCGGTCAATATGTTCTTTAAGTTGAAAAATTATAAAATGGCATCGTCATTTGCAAGGAGACTTTTAGAATTGGGACCTAGAGCGGAAGTAGCACAACAAGTGAGAAAAATCTTACAGGTGAGTATTCCATATAGACTTTAAACAATAACGTTAACAATTTATTTTTAATTACTGTTTTTAATTTTTTTTTAGGCATGCGATAAAAACCCAGTCGACGAACATCAACTCGCATACGACGAGCACAATCCTTTCTCATTGTGCGCCAGCACTTACACGCCAATTTACAGAGGGAAACCAGAAGTCAAATGTCCACTTTGCGGAGCTAAATATCAACCACGATTTAAAGATACCGTTTGTACCGTATGCGAAGTGGCATTAGTTGGAAAGGAATGCGTCGGTTTACGAATAAGCTTATTGCAATTTCGATAATTGATTTCTTTTATTGGTGGAAACTGATTAAGTCCATTTGATGTTATGGCTAAAAAAAATCAGCATTAACAGATTAAGCGTATTAGTTGGTATAAAAGTCAGTGTTAATAAATTAGCAATGTAGGTACGTCAGGCGCTTATCCTATCGGAATATAAATACGTTTAATGATTTTTATGCTATTTGTAAAATGAAGTAAAAACTATGAGTTATTTTTGTATAACTTCTCCTTAACGATAAGATGTGTTAACGCAAAAAATGCAGAAGACTTCTGTATTCTTTGCTTAACGTTAGAAATTAAAACGATTTAAAGTTACGCCCATGACTGCATTTATCCAGAGAGCAGTAAACGGTCTTTTTGTCCCGAGTTTCGCCATTGTCGCCTAGTGGCCGTACTCCGACACCCTGGTTATTTTAATCGTGGAACGAAACATGAAAACTAGTCCAGGTACATTTCGATAGCTATCGATAGCCTTCTACTCGAATTAATTCCGTCAAAAACTCTTAAGAAAATAACGTTAAAAATTGCTAACGTAACTTAAGACTTGAGAGTTGCGACGCGCCGCCATGTTACGTTCGCAACCGTCGCAACAGCCAATGGAATCGGTTGCCGCCGCCAAGGTGCATGCACGGCCCAGGCTGGCTCGCGGCGAAAAGTCCCCAGACCCACGCTCGGGACGGGTTGGTAGTCCGCACGGTCAGTTGTTGCCGACGCAAGTAGCGCGCAATGGTGGATGCGGATCGTGGGGGCCGCTAGTGCGTGCCGTCAAACTGCTGATCAAAGAACCGCGCTGAACCGCGCTTCCATCGGCAGCGGCGAGCTCGCGTCCCGTGGTCCGCCAGGCTCGCGCGTCGCGTACCGGCGATCGTTCCCCGAAATTCGTATGTCGCGGAGTGAGACGGACGAGCGTGCCAGTGATAGAAGAGGGCGCCGCGTTTCCTCGCTTGACGCGCGCGAGACCCAAGGCCCAAGGGTGCCCCGTCCCGCCGCATAACACGCCGCATAACGCGCCGTCTGCGCTCATAACCTCGACCGTGCAAACAAACCGTCCACGGCAGCCGGAAGCGAGAATCGGGTCGGGTTCCCCGCCGGCCGCGAAATCGACGCCCATTGGACGGATGCGACATCGAGAAGGGCCCGCGGTCCCGCGTAAATAGAGGGATCCTCGCTCCCCGGCGGAGTCGCGGACCCCCCGGTAACCTCTCCGGGTCGAGAGCCAATCGCGTTCCTCCGCGGCGCTCGGGATTTTCGACCGGGCCGCGCCTGACGGTTCCTTGCCCCCTCCGCGGAACTCGCCCTCGGGGCCGTTAAGGTTAGGTTCGGCGACGCGGGCCGCCACCCGAGGCCCCCGAGCCCGGTGAGAGTGCCATCCCCGAGCGAGTTTACGAACCTTCGGCGAGGTTCTCTCTTGGCCCGGATCGGAGCTGCGCGAATACGCGAGATTCGCCCCGACGGCCGAGGTGACCCCGCGCGGGCACCGCGTCCGGGTACTTTGCGCTCCCGTGCTCCGAGGGTAGCGCGCTCGCGGAGTATATACGGCGTGATGAAAAAATGATGTGATCGAGGGTCAACATGGCGGCACCCATGTTAATGTGGAAGCGGATCACGAATCCCACCGGGCCCCAGCCTAGACCCCGACACGGGCACAGGGCCGTCGCCATTAAGGATCTCATGGTCGTTTTCGGCGGCGGTAACGAGGGCATCGTCGACGAGCTTCATGTCTACAATACGGGTAGGTTAGAGCGCACGAGCCGAGGCGCGCCTCGGTTCCCGATGCCCGCGCCGTTTTCCTGTCTCTCCCGCGATCCAAGATGGCCGCACGCGTTGACAAGACCGTCACCGGCCGGGGACGGCGGATTAATGGACGCCCTCGGTGCATTTCTCGCTTGCGACTCGATTTCTCCCGGGTTTCCGCGTTGCGCCGATCGCGCACTCCTTTTCCGCCCGGGCCGAGCCTCGGTTTCGCATATCCGGGCTCGGGATCGTGGCCGATCTGACATTTTTCGTGTTTGTGCGCGCGGGAGCGGCCATCTTGATCGCTTCCCCTTCTCCGCCAATCGGCGCCTCGCGTTTCCCGACGTTCCACGTTCGCGCTTCGTTTCTCCTTCTGGTTCTTCACCCTCCCCCTGTGGCTTCTTCGTCCTTGGGTGCGCCTGTGGCCGCGAACGTTGCTTTTTTGACTCGGAGCCTTACTTTTGGCTTCGAATTCCAGCCTCTCGTTTTTGTAAAAGGACAAATTACGCGAGGGCTTAGGTGGTTCCGAGTTAAAAGAGTTTACGAACGCGGCGCTGACTGGTTCCGCGCGCACGCGAGCTGCACGAATTGATGCCCTTGCTTCCAATTCGAGAGCGTCGCGTTCATGCGCGGAACGACTAAACGTCGCGCGCGGTTTTTAAATTGTCCTCCTCCCCCCCGATGCCAATGCGTTTTATCAATTTTGAGATAAAAAATACTGAAAGTATTTTAATGACGATGTAGAAAAAATTCTATGCGCTTTTTCTAGGCGAATATTTTTAATGTGAAATTTCCTGACTATATTTTGCAGCCACGAACCAATGGTTTGTCCCTTCGACGAAAGGAGACATTCCACCTGGGTGTGCCGCGTATGGATTTGTCGTGGATGGCACCCGTATCCTGGTATTCGGTGGCATGGTTGAGTATGGTAAATACTCTAATGAACTTTATGAACTACAAGCGAGCAGGTGGGAGTGGAAGAGACTAAAACCCAAACCCCCGAAGCACGACCCACCGCCATGTCCAAGATTGGGGCACAGTTTCACTCTGATCGGTAACAGAGTTTTCCTCTTCGGAGGACTAGCCAATGACAGTGACGATCCCAAGAACAACATACCGAGATACTTGAATGACCTATATACCCTGGAGCTTCTCCCTAATGGTGCAACGGCTTGGGAGGTTCCTCAGACGCATGGACATGCTCCTCCGCCAAGGGAGTCGCACACAGGAGTGGCCTACACCGATCGCAATACAGGAAAATCCTGCCTAGTTATTTACGGTGGTATGAGTGGTTGCCGCTTGGGAGATTTGTGGTTCCTTGACGTCGACTCGATGACTTGGAACAAGCCCGTAGTGCACGGTCCAACGCCATTGCCACGGTCCCTCCATACGGCTACGTTGATAGGTCATCGTATGTACGTTTTCGGAGGCTGGGTGCCCCTGGTCGTTGACGACGTTAAAGTGGCAACGCACGAAAAAGAGTGGAAATGTACCAGCACCCTCGCTTGCCTGAACTTGGGTAAGCTCGAATTCTTATCGCTGTAAGAATTATAAAATGTTTAAGATACTCCACGGTACCCAATAATTGGAAATCCTTTGTCATGCTTTAGAGACCCTAACGTGGGAGCAGTTGACCGTCGACTCCCTGGAAGAAAACGTTCCCCGTGCTCGTGCTGGTCATTGTGCAGTCGGAGTACACAGCAGGCTCTACGTATGGTCTGGGAGAGATGGTTACCGCAAAGCATGGAACAACCAGGTTAGGGTTAGTTTTTATCGCTTTCTATTAACTCTTCATCAGGATGCGTGCCGAGTGTAACATGCTGTATACCAACTGATGGACTGAGTTTGCGATTCTCCATCATCCCTTTACATGAGTCGATGTATGCATAAATACGAGTACACGCGCGATCGCTCGACGCCGTACCGATATCCACGACGACCACTTTCAGGTATGCTGTAAGGACCTTTGGTATCTGGAGGTCAGCAAACCCCCGGCCCCGTCCCGCGTCCAGTTGGTCCGAGCGTCCACCCAATCTCTGGAAGTGAGTTGGACGGCGACACCTTCCGCCCAGTACTACATCTTGCAGATCCAGAAGTACGACATGCCGCCGGCGACAGGCTCCTTCCCGGCGGGTAACGCGCCTGCGAGCGTGCCATCGACGACTCCAACGTCGGCAGCGACCGCAATACCGGTGCCAGTGACCACCACCCCGCCGACAACGACCGTGGCGTCCCTTCCATCGACGCCAACCCTCGCGAAAGCGACGATACCTCAGACCCCGGTTAGGATACAGCAGACCACAGTGCCGAGCCCCGTACAAAAGCCCGTATCGACGTCTCCGGCGGTTACGAAACCGGCGAGTCCATTGACCCCGAGGGTGGCTGGCAATCTGATACGAATTCGCTCTCCCATGGTCACGACTCCCCAGGTTGCCGCCAATCCGGAGCAAACTCCTGCCCCGACGCCTCCTACCACGACCGCGGCCGGTCAGTCGCCGAGCGCCATGTCTGGGATCGCGGCGCTCGCAGCGGCCGCTGCCGCGACCCCGAAGATCAGTATGAACAACGTGCCGATACTGCCCCCTACGGCAGGCAACGCGATAAGGATGAAGAACGTCCAGCCGGGTCAACAAATCAGGTTCGCGGCGCCCGGAGCCACGGTCCTGCGCACGGCTTCGCCCCAGCAGAGCAAACAGATCATTCTCCAGAAACCCGGGCAAAACATCACGGGCCAGCCGCAGATCGTGCACCTGCTCAAGACCGGCCAAGGCATGGTAGCCACCGTACCCAAAGTCAGTCTGATTCCAGGAAAGACCGTCCAGGCTGCCGGGGCGAAGCCCCTAAACCAGGGACCCACGATACTCAGACTGGTCAACCCGAACACGGTAGCCGGGTCGAAGATTCTCACGACCATGAAGACCTCGAGCATCGTAGCGATGAGCAAAGGTCAGAGCATCACTGGCAAGCAGACCATCATGATCACCAAGCCCGGAGGAAACGGGGGCCTAGTAGGGAGGACCAATCAGATCATCGTTGTGACCACTGGGTCCGGGCTGAGAGCCGTCCAAGCAGTGACCACCTCTCAAGCTGGCTCCGGTCAAGGCGGCAACATCACCACTCCCGTTAACGTCCTTCCTTTATCCGCCACCAATCACGTGGCAAACCAGCAAGGAGTCAAGATGATCGTGGTGTCTTCCGGTGCCATGGGAGGCGGCACCGCAGGTAAACCCATCACCATTACCGTGCCCGGCCAGGGCGGAGTCCCAAAGACCGTGACCATCGCCACGAAGGGCAGTCAGCAGGCGATTTTCAATCCTGGAAAGAGTCAGCTGGTAACGGTTCCGCAGATTCAGAAGGCTCCGGTATGTACCTGACTCGGCGGGATACCGAGCAATTTATCCACGTTTCTTTTGGTTTTCATTTTTATCGGAACTTGGCCATCGGTTGTAGGAGACCGTTGCAGTCTCCGGGAAGCCGGTGACTCTGCAGATGTCTGGAGGTATCGGAGCGAAGACCGTCACTCTCATGCCCACGAGCAGTTCTATCGTCACCACGGCAGGAACCGGTGATTCCATCGACACCAGCAAGATGCTGTTCGTTCCTTCCCAGAAGACTCCTTCGGCTTCGCTAGGTATGCCTCGGTCTAGGGATAATTTTCGCTAGTTTCGTTAATTAAATCAGATCGCAGATTTTCTTACGACCACGAGTGATTGTGACTTTTGGAAGTTACAGCTTCGACGTCGGACGGACCGGCAACGACGGACGCAGCCTTGGCGGCACTGGCGGCCGAAGCAGGCTTGATAGACCCTGTCCAGGAATCATCGGGCGGGTTGTCGTTCATGGTGGCAACGGATGACACCGGAGCCGACGCGAAGGCCGAGGAGAGCTGCAACGGCAACGAAGCGGCCTCTGCTGCCACCCTGGTGTCGCAAATGACGGCCGGGGAGCCGATGCAAGTGGATGGGGACGGGAACTTCGTAATTCCTCAGGTGGACGGTACCGCCGATCTTCTGCTGTCCGATGACGAGAACGAGAACGCGGAGTTGGAGGAGGAGCCTTCCGTCCAAAACCCCGTGGAATCCCCTCTGGCCGAAGCCGAAGAATCTCAAGAGGCGGAACAAGAGACGAGTGCCCTCTTCATGGAGAGTACGGAGCACCCCGAAGATTCCGCGATCAAGGAGACCGGGGAGGTATCACCTAGGGCAGAAACTGCAGAAGTTGCTCCGACGACGATCCCGGTTAGCGGTGCGGATCCAGCACTGGTGGTACCAACCGAGATAGAAGCGAGCAACGACGAAGTAGCTGCCGAAGACCCCGAGGAGCTGGAACCACCCAGCGAAAGCGACATGCCTACAGTCGGCGAGCAGTCTTCCGAGGATGCCTCGGTAAAGGCTGAACTTTCCGCCCTCCAGTTGCCCGCGGAAAAGGAGGATTCCCCTCGAGAAGATGCGGAACCAGTTGCGGATAGCAACGAGACCGAGGAAGCTAAAGTCGAAGAAGCTTCCGAGGATGCCGCGACGATAACTCCTGCGGAGGTCGTCAAACCGTCCGGCCTGGAAACGCCGACCGACGGCGATGTCACGTCGCAAGGGATGCACGCCTTGCACGACGAACCCGAAGAAGAGAAGGAAGATTCCGAGGCGGAAGAGGCGGAGTCGAACCTTCCCAAAGAAGAGGAACACCCTATAAAAACGGAAATTCGGGATGAGCCTATGGTGACGGATGCACTCACACCGACTGACAATAGCGAGCCCGAAGCCGAACCCGCGATGGTCCCCGTGATGCAGTTTAAAATCGAGACTGCCAACGAACCGATGGAACAGGACAAGCCCGACATACCGATCTCCGTTGCCAATGGAATCGGTGCGCCCGACAGCGAAACCGAGTCTCCGTTGAATCAGCTGAGACTGACCACCAAGTCCGTCGGCAGGGAAGACCTCGCCGTTAAAGTCAAGAAACAAGACTCCAAGCTGGAAAAGGAGAGCGAAGACCCGGAACCCAGAGACGATTCCACGGCCCTGACTACTCTCGCCACGGCAGCTCTGGGAACTGCCGAGCAACCAGTTAAACCAAAACTCGAACCGGTAAGTCGGAACGTCGACCTGGAAGTACCCGTAGATTAAACAAAGGACACCGTTCACGAGTCTGCTTTACGTTTTCAGACCGACGAAGAGAAAAAGGAAGCCGAATGGTACGACGTGGGTATCGTGAAAGGAGTTACCTTTACCGTGCAACATTACTATTTACCCGGGGACGAACCGTTGGATATAACGCAGCCGTTGTCAGCGGACGTATTCAAGGGACGAACCAAAGTACCTTTAGAACCTGGCACTGCCTATAAATTTAGAGTGGCTGCTGTGAATAGCTGCGGTCGAAGTGCCTGGAGCGAGGTAATTATCTCGAAGCCGTCGATTAAACGGAACCACTGTTAGGCGATTAGAAAAGCGGTTAACCGAGTCGTTCTTTTCCAGGTGTCGGCATTCAAGACCTGCCTTCCAGGATTCCCGGGTGCGCCGAGCGCGATAAAGATCTCGAAATCGGCGGACGGTGCCCAGTTGTCCTGGGAGCCCCCGCCAAGTAACCTCGGCCCCATATTGGAGTACTCGGTTTACCTGGCGGTGAGAAGTGCCAGTGCGGTGTCGAACAATGCCGGAGAGGCTACGACGGTGTCGACGACTCCGACACAGCTGGCCTTCATCAGGGTCTACTGCGGGCCCACCAACGCGTGCTCGGTGACCAACCACACTCTCAGCGTGGCCCACGTGGACATGACCACGAAGCCGGCCATCATATTCAGAATAGCTGCCCGAAACGACAAGGGATACGGACCCGCTACCCAGGTCAGGTGGCTGCAAGGTACGTAAAACTTGGTCCTACTTTGTTCGTCTCCCATCGAGCGAATGCAACTCGTAAACTGGGTCGTCAATTGGACCTGTCCATCCTTCCAGACCCGACCACGGCCGTTAAGAGCAATCCACAGGTGAAGCGACCGGGCACGGACGTTCGTTCGCAGGCGAACTCCCCCCAAAAGAGGGTGAAACCGGAAACGGCGAGCGACAACTTCTCGTGAGCTATAACGCGTGCTCCCTCGCCCGGGCACAGCCTCCCTTCCCAGCCCTCCTAACCCCTCGAGTCCTTCTCGAGCAGCGCGATTCGCGGTTTCATTTCTGTCGGTACACCCGAGTAGGACGGGAACGTCTCTCATGGATGCAACGTCGTCTCGAGTGGGGACACGGGGAGATTCAAAGGAGAGGAAGAAGAAGAAGAAATAAGGAGAGGGCCGATCGTGGACGAGAGGTCGGGAGGCCGAAGGGAGGTCCGCCTCGGCGGCACGTAAAATGGTGACAAATATTCGGAGAAAGGGAGAAGGAAAAAGTGTAACGACCTTTGCGTGTCGTCGGTACGTTTGTCGGATCTCGCGCGGCGAGACGACGTCGAGTGCTACGCGAGTTCTTAGCGAAAGAGAGATAATTTATAAGGGAGTCCCGCGTCCGTGGAGGCCTTCGCCAAGGCGCGCGACCCTCGCTTGTCGAACCGCCCGCGGATCCGGGAATTTGTAAAAAGAAGAATCCATTAATATCGTTGATAAATAAGTAAGTTGGTTATTTTCGAGGCGAGTCGCCGATCACGGATTTGTAGGGCGTTGTAGAGGGGTTCGCACCGCGGGAGCGGGTCGACTTGCGCTTCGAGGATAAGGAAGACACCGAGGACGAGGCACTTCTCTGATTTCTCTCTTCTCTCTCTCTCGATCTTTCTCTCCGTGACTCTTTCTCCTCCTTTTTAGCTCGGCACCGCTCACCAGGAATAGGTGATTTCATCGACTACGCGTGCATCGATGAGCGGTTCTCGTCAACTGTTTCGCCGACTGACGTTTTTGACACGTCGTTTCCATCGCGACCGTTCTCCAGCGTTTTTCATCGGCCATTTCTTGCTCCGAGATTATTAACGCTGTGAGGGCTGGGGTCTAGTCTGGGACTGTTTACGTATCGACGACTGTGCGTAATTTAGAGCAAGGAGTGGTCGTCGATGGATGCTGCAGGGTTCTGAGATGAAACGATTTATCGAAGGGCATGGACGATGCGTCGACGAAACAGCTGTAGATCTTCTTGTCGGTGAGGTGAAATAAACCCGGTTTATATTGGGAACCGTAAGGTCTGTTACTGATTTCCTCTGGCGAACCGTAATGCACCCTGTTCCTCTAGCCATGTACGTAATGACAACCTTCAATGGTCTTATCAAGCGCACTACTTTTTAAATGAAAAATACAGGACCAAACGGAAAGGCGGTGTACAGTGTTTGTGGTTTAAGTTGATCGGTTATCTTTTGTTAATCCTGACGCCGACCACTATGCTATATATATATTTTTTTTTTTCATTTTAACTCGACACTCGAGTGTACTTATCTACCGCCATAAGAGAAACGAGATCCGTCTGTGGTTGTTTTCCTTTTCGGGATATCACGCGTGATTAGCAAAAGGATATATAGGTGCTACTCTCGATTCGTCTCGCTTTTGTTACTGTCGAATTTGGAATTGTACATAGTATGCAAGGGCAGCATGTACGGTGCAGCACATCGATGAACAATTTGACACACAAGCCTCGTGTCGTACCATGTCTCATATATATATATTTGTAGTTATTTAAATGCGGGAGCGTAATAATTTATATTAGCAAAGGTGTTTGTGTCGTTAACTTAAGGCGAAATCCTCAAACGAGTATTTAGTTGTCTTTTCTTCCCCTTGTAAAAAAATAAGATGCCAACGCGAAATTACTGTCGAAAATATGATGCTATTTTGTCGAGGTAAAGGTAATATACCATTTTAAGGATATGTGGGTGCCTATCGAGTTAGCGATTTTTATAGAGGTAATCTAGCGTAAATGTACATAGGAATTATTATGGGAAGCAGTATGGACGATGACCGTGTCGTGTAATCGATTCTTAACGAGTCCATGACATCGATAAGGATCGGTATCTTGCATACGTGGGGGGATTTGGTAGGTTTTAAAGCTGTGTAATTATTTAAGGAATTAAGGAGAGCTGGGTCTAACTCGGCCACGCATTGATTAACTCTTGTACCGAAAGTTTTACAATTTCGCGTAACCTGGGTGGTGGGCGTACTGCAAAATTAAGTCCTCGTGAGTCTTTTACACGTATGCAACTTTCGATTGACTAATAAAAATTCACGGTCGTCGTGTATAGGGCTTCTGATTATACACGGGGAATCGCTTAACATTTTCACCTGGACTGTTGATTATTCGTCGCATCGGTAAATGGTCAGACCAAAAATTGCGTAATGTTTTTTCGAATCGAAACTTTCCAACATGGTAGTGCCAAGTGATCCACCGTGTATATTACCTAAATCCAGTTTTACGGAATTATTACAACACGTCGCCGTAAACGTTTCATGCGCTTGTCCGTGCTGTGTCTCCGGTGATCAAAAACTGTTTCTTCTTCGGCAGTAATGATGTGCGACGAGCCCTGCTTAAATTTTTCTACAAATTCGATAAAATGGAAGTACGCCAACCTACTAGCGAAAAAAAAAAAAAACGGAAACGTCCAGCACAAAATTATTGGGATGTTGAAAACTTCCCATTAAATGAATCGAAGCCCCTTCGAACTTGTGCTGGACGGTTTTCCGATAACTTTCGTACTTTTCACGCGAAGGAGAACTTTAAGCAAGGGAACCATACTATCCTAAAGCTCGAGTTTTCCTCCTTGTAAGTTTTTGGAAAAAGAGCAGCAGATAATACCAAGATTTCGACACTCACTGTGCGTCGCGCCCTAGAATAATTACTCGCCGATAAACGACCGACGATGCTGTCTGTGTCATTTTGTAGAATCGAATGATCGATCTGTACGACTGCGGGGAATTTTGAGGGACGTTAAACAAGGAAAGGCGTGATTTTACTCCGAGGCAAAAGCCTCGTACATAGCGTCGACCGTACACTCATAGTTTTCCAAGAGTTTATAAAAATCGATATCTTATCCATGCCGATTGATAATAAAAGAAATCGATGTTTAGCCAATGCTATAGAAATTGAATTGAAGCACCACCAACTTGACGAATGTCGGATCCATCATATTGACGGTCCCGAGATGATTGGTCGTGTCCGATGAGAAGTAGATAATTAACCCGTTGAAAGGGATTCGTTATTTTGATTAAACGATCGTATACACATGCGGGGAATTAAATATGGTGAATTTAAGAGCCTTGCCACACCGAATAAGGGAATTGGAACGAGCGATCGTCCTGGTTGCAGTCTTGGAGCGATCACCGTAGGCGCGTATCCTTCCACGTGTAATACTTATAAAATCGAACCAAAATGTCCTCTCGTCTTGTGTGCGGATATTTTTCAACGATAGTAGCAGATTTGAAGAGTCTCGGTCCGCAAGACTCGCCCTACATGTTTAGATTAGCCGCGAAAGAGATCTCTAGCTACAAAAGAAAACGAAATCTCGTAGTTTTAGCAGCCTTTATACGACTCTTGTGGATTTCTAAACGAGAAAGGGTAAAAAGAAGTATCGTACCAGTACAATTTTTTTAAAAACACGAATCAAAGAAACACGTAAGCCCGGCACATAATGAAGAGAAATATCTAAGGTATAAGATTTAAATATATGTATAATCTGGATCGATCCAGCGAGCTCCGCTGGATCGCTCCGATGATCAGCTGTGATCGAGTGAAAAATCTTATTCCTTACTCTTGATCTTACGTTGTTTTTTCACCACAGGGCTCAAGGACCCGATTGTCGATAATACATTAAGGATTATTATTGTTACTAACGTCACTATCATTACTACTAAATTAGTACCCCGATTAACGTCGCGACTAATGTATATACGTATGTATGCACCCACGAGTCAAAGGGTTACATTAATCGCTGGGAGATCGTCCCGTCTCCAGATTTTAAACAAATTTAGGCTGCTCGTAGATAGACGCCAACGGAGAAGTTGTAAAAAAGGAAACTTAAGGACGGGAACGAATTAAATCAAATTCTGTGAAGTATCTCAACCCTGATCAGGGTCATCCGTGAGCGCATCGCGCCCTGTCCTAATCTTTCGACGTCTCGAAGAAATCCAACTAGAAGAAAGAAAGGACGAGATCCCAAAGTCGATCGATGACAGTCATCGAACCTCGATTTAAATCGGAATATCGGGAGTTCCGAAAAGCGCGGACTTCACTTATTTTTATCGACGACAAAGAAAATGTATTTTATTAATTTCTGCGATTGGGCAGCACGGATCCATACCGAAGAACGACGAGAATTTGGGGCGCGTTACCCTCGTCGATAGGACGAAGGGGGTACCAAGGCTCGAGGGCTTCACTCTTGAGAAAGAGGGAGAGAAAGAGAGAGAGAGGGAGCTGGTACCAATCGAGTATTTTACAGCAAGTTACACCGTATACATACTCGTATGTACATAGGCTGCGTGCTATGCGCGCTCGATCGTCCGAATAATAGATTATTTTTCGAGGTCCATGCGATTCTTTGTATAGAGATCTAGCGAAGTCAAAGTAGATAGATACGAAAGCGGGCACGCGGAATGGATCCTCGGGGACCTCGAGAGAGCGGAGGTACCGAGATAGGAAAATGTCGAGACGTTAAAGTTAAGATCCCGGCGATAACGAGAGAGAGATCCCGACGACCGACTCGAGCACGAAGGAATACGCAAATTGTACATCCACGATATACTTACCCGCTAATTGTAACTGCGAACGGAAACGGAGGAACTCTCTTCCGGGGGGTCGTCCTCTCGAGGAAGGACTCCGTCGCGACTCGTCGATGTCGAGCGAAATTTTGTCGGCAGCGATAACGCCTAAAAGGAACGAACGCCTTCCGTCGAGGGGAGAGGAGGTACCTCTCCGAACACGGTATTGGTCTCGAAAAGGGTATCGAGAACGGCGGACCTAAGCTAATAATTTGACGGGAAAAGGATAATTTGCCGGTATAGAGGCGGTAAGAGAAATGACGGCGCGCCACGAGGTGGCACGATTACTCGCCGGGACGCCCCCGGAGAATCGTTATTATCTCCGTATTCATACATTTATTATTTTTAATCGCACACTCGCGAGGAGACACGGCTTCGCCGTCAGGACCGCCGCGACGGCCGGTATATATATCTGGAGTAAATATTAAATTTATGATATATTTTATTTTTGTTTAAGAGTACGCAGGATTATTATCAGAGGCGAGGAGGAGATTCGCATAAAAGAGGAAGCGGGCTGGGGTACCTTCCGGTTCTCGCGTCTAGAGTTATACTTTTACCGTTTGATATATGCCGCTTGTGGTCGTCCTCGATGAGTCGAACGATCGAAAGGGGAGAAAACGAGATAACGTGGAGCCTACCTTGAATATATCGAGTATCGAGAGGGACTAGAAATTTTCTCGGTAATTTAAGTCAACTCTGCCCATCGCGCGAGACTCGATCGCTCGGACAATTGTCGAGATGCGTACGAGCATTTCCTCTCGTTTAAGTTACAGGGAGAGACCGCTATACTTTTCACTCTATTCAATCATAAATTCTCTTCGATGGTATACAGTGTTAAGTATATATATATTATATAATAAAGAGAAAATAAATGTGACTTTTGTATGTATGAATTTATTTGGCGTCGTTTTCGTCTGGACCGCTCTCCGATAAAAATCAAAATTTCCGGAATAAATGCGCCCTGCGGTCGCATTAAGGGATTTCTCTGCCGGTCGCAAGAAAGTCCTGTTACGACTCGAGGCGTTAATCGATTCGATTAGCCGAGACCTCCGATTATGGAGCAAGTGCGTTCGATCGCTGTACAAAACTCATTGACATGTACGGCCCGAAGTACCGGTGTGCTTACATGGGGCCGTTATTACCGCCCTCGCCTTTTACAGTAAAGCGCGGGCATTCCTTCGACCCTTCCTTTAGGACATTATTATCCGCGACAAAGACATGTCCGTACTTTTTACGCGTCGCTCGTCATTCTTATCACGCGCGTAATCGCCGGAATGGACGCCCCGAAGCGATCGAGAAACGCGATTCGAAACTCCGGCAACTTAAACATTGTATTGCCAAGAAGCATTTTTCAGCAATCATTTAAAATCTTAAATTGCCACGTAACATCGCGATAAATTACAACGCAATTTACGCGGTTATGTATTTTAATTATTTTTTTTATTAGGCTATTTGAAATAAATACGCGTTTCTATATGTATCGGCTTTTATTTTAAATATTTTTTCTCGTACCGACAATCTTTGTGGAATTTTCATTCGCGTAAATTGAGGGACGCCTGTATGATTTTGAACGACTTAAGAAAAACAAATTTGTTTTTGGGAATGTTCGTTCGATGTGTCATATTTTTTTTTACGCTCAATGGAAGATTAAACGCTTTTTGTCATTAAAATATTTAATTCGGCCCGTTGGGCGTCTGCGCGTTTCGGGTCCGCGGCGGGCGGAGTGGGGGCGTTCCCACTGACTCCCACCTCCAGGCGGCGCGCGCGGTCCGGGCATCAGTCGATCGCCGACCACGCGCGACGCGGAAGCTCGAGATCGTCGCTCCGCGAAATTCCGGCACGGTCTCTTCCGAGGTCCCCGCTGCGCCCAGTGACCCCGACACCTCGGGTCCGCGAGTTTTAGTGCACCCAATACAGCTAGGCACCGGTCTTCCGAGATGAGCACCCCGGTGAAGAAGGTCCCCATCCACCTGCAGGTGAGTCCAGCCCTCGATACACCCCTGCGTAGTCCCCGGGGACGCCACCGCGGCGGGGCGAGCGTTCCTTTGGAAACCGGATCGCGACGTTTGAACGATGTGCGCACTTCTTACCGGTTTTGCCAATTATTTTAACCCCTTTGCTGGACTTCCCTCGAGGAATCCCAAAATTCGGAAAAAATGGGCGCGTCCGAGCGCGGGTTGGCTGGACAAGTTCAAGGACTGGGTTCCTTCCCGGTGGGTCAAAGTTCAGAGCCCTCGGCTTCGATCGCTCGGACCTTTCGTAATTGTCCACTTTAGAAAGGTTAAAAAAAAAAATGTAGAATACGAAACAGGTTGGCAAAATTCGTTAGACTATTTATATACGAGCTAAACCGAGTTAAATTGTGAAACGATGGGCAGCCTTCGCTTCCCTATCGTAGCTGTAGTTAAGCCTGCGTCGATTATCCGTCACTTTTGATAAGAAAAAAAAAGTATATAATTTATATAACCCGAGGGTTCTCGCCCAGTAATGGTAAATTTTGAAACGATGAGCAGCCTTCGCTTCCCTATCGTAGCTGTAGTTAAGCCTGCGTCGATTATCCGTCACTTTTGATAAGAAAAAAAAAGTATATAATTTATATAACCCGAGGGTTCTCGCCCAGTAATGGTAAATTTTGAAACGATGAGCAGCCTTCGCTTCCCTATCGTAGCTGTAGTTAAGCCTGCGTCGATTATCCGTCACTTTTGATAAGAAAAAAAAAGTATATAATTTATATAGCTCGAGGGTTCTCGCGCAGTAAAGGTACCCCGTCGCCTCCTTCGGAAATTCGCGTTACGGTCATCGGCCAATCGACCACAAAAGCCGTATCGACTCTCGCCACTCTCATCCTCCTTATATAATACTATCGACAACGTGTGCGATAACCGATGAGGTGATTCGATGCATTTTTAATGGCGCGTTATACTCGCCAGGAGCGGTCACGTTGTATCCTCGTCGACTCTATTTCCAGAGGATGGAAGGACCTAGAAAGTAAAATAAATTAACGGGTTTACATCGACGTACTACTTCGCGTATGATACGGCACCTTAAAGGATAACGAAGGAGTCGCCGAGGAATCGATTGCGAGGAACGTTTAACGAGTTTCCCCGGAGAGTTCACGCAATCGCCTCGCGTTCGCGATTTTGAAGGCCTACGGTGCATAAAGTGCGGTAACGCGTACGCGTAATGCCGCAGAGGTCCATGGACTAGTGTCCTGAAATATCGATGAACGCGCACGAGAGAAACGACGGGAGAAAAAAAAATGAGTTGCTTAGAAACGGAAAATACAAAGCACGGGGGCGGACAGGGGTCGGGAATTTATTGGGTCTCTAATTTGTCCGGTTTCTCTCGAATTTCACAATTTTTTTTGGACCCGTTAAACGTTAGGAGCATCCTCCACGTGTTCCGGGATTTTCTTCCGAGTCGGGGAAAACGAGTTACGGCTTTGAGGAGCGGCCAAAGAAAGCACTAAAAAGCACGCGGCATCTGCGTACACGGCGAGGGCTTGTTGGGGGAAAAAAAAAAGTGAACGCTTCGCTTCACATTCTTTAAGCGCCTCTTACGGCGGACGGACGTTTATTGACATTTTTTACCGATCTGGGAAGATTCGAAGAGCGCGTCGGCGGAGGTCGAACATGGATGACCCTCGTGGGCGTTTTTCGAAATCTTGGCCGTAGAAAGTTGAGGACGAGTCCGAGGGTCGACACGGGACGAGAGCCGAGTAAATACAAGGAGAGCCGTCGCGAAGGAGGGAAAGTTTACGATCGCACCTAGATAATTGCGGGGATGGTAGCTTATTGATCCGAGAACCTTGGCGCCGCTCGCGCCAAACTGTCTCCTAAAAAGATACATCGGCCGCCCCTTCGCGTACGCGAGATTCGTCGGTCAGATTTCCCGAGGAAAATGGAACCCGATATCGCCGCGGAATATCTCGATTCGAGGATAAAAATAGAGATCGTTGAGCGACGTCCGGGATCCCGGAAACTAGGATTTCGCGGCGAGCGTCGAAAAGTCGGGCGGAATTTATCGACGCCGGGTCCACCGGCGTCTCGAAACGAGTATTTCATGCCAAAGGGAGAAACCGCCGCCATGCTGCATCCGCGTTTTCCGAGCCGCGGCGGAAACGCGAGCGGTCCGGAACCACCGGTAAGGATCGATAGTTCGTCGACACGACTGCGTCTGGTCTAAATTGCAGGAAATAAAAGGGCGACTCTCTCGCTTCAAAATAACGCCCTGGCGAAAAACGCACTAGCGATCGTCGCGTTGGAACCTACTCGTCCTTGGATTGTCGCTTTATTTCTCCGCAAATAGACTCGAGAGTTATCGACGCCATTGATATTTATATAGCTAAAGGTGCGTTGCAGGGGCCAGAGCTCGTGGTTCCGCGAATCGCCGGTCGCTGCTAAATGGTTTTCGAAAAGTCCGAGCCGGAGAGGTTTCGAAAAATCGCGGTGGGAATTTCAATTCGGCGAAAAACCTCGAGAGGTATCATTTTTGGTCGCTTTTTTTTTCTCGCGACTTTCGGCCGAAAACGCTTCCGGCGTCTAAATCGACGTCAGAAGGTTCAAGTACACGGCACGCAGGTTGTCGATTGTGCCCCAGGCATTATTCGCGATGTATAAATAGACACGTTACGTTGGGGAAGCCAGGTGTGACCTACGCCTGCCGTTTCCGGGGACTCGTTTGCAAACGAACTGGACCATGCCCAACGATTGCCTGACCCCTTTCGCGTTCCCCTCGGCGAGGCGAATCGCCGCGGTCGACGTCGATAACGTCTTTTGAAATTTTCCCGCTCCTTCGCTTTCCATTTATCCACCATGTCCGAAAATGGCCGATACTCGTGGCGAAGATCGACCGTCCAACGGATTGCGCGACTCTCGAGGGGGGTGCGGATAAAATAAACGGTGAAAATCGTTTTTCCACTTCTCGGGCCGATCGTCGCTCTTCGGGATTCGGAAAACACCTCGAAGAAGTCGGGGCAAGGAGGGCGGAATGCTCGGAACCAGGAAGCGCCAAGAGTATTGATTGAACGAACCTACACGGGGCGATGCTCGTCCCTAGTAGGTAGAGCCCCTAGAAAAGTAGAGTCCAAACGCCCAACGCTCGAATTAAGGGACATAGCGGGCGACAAGAGCGCGCCCGAAGGCTTTTCCTTCCTCCCTATATTTTCTTTCTCGCGGTTTATCGACCACCGCGCGCGATTTCCACGTACGTCCTCGCGAGGGGGCAAGAGACGAATTGCGGCGGGGATCTTCTTTCGCAGAGGCTCTAGTCGCGTGCCTTAAACTTCTTGGCCGTCGCCGCATCTTTTGCTATAGGTCGAGCCTCGGTGACGTCACGGGGAATTGCAGAGATTTTGCGCTATTTCAACCCGACGATCGAATAATTCGCATTCGTGTCGGGGCGTACCCGTTATTCCCAATTCGGGCGATTCGAGTCGCAATTGAGGGACAATTGAAATTCGGGAGCAATAAGGCGGTCTTATCCGACGTTGGTTAAAATACACGGTTTCCGGAGGGAATACCACCTCGGGGCGATCCGGGTCGGCCGTTTTCCGATACCGGTCTTGGGAAAATGGCCGAACGGGGACGAGGCTTCGATTCCAACAGGTGAAACGTATCGCCGAGCAACTTTCCACGGGCTCGTTGGGCAACGACGCTTCCCTTTAAAGTGCACGCGCGTAGTTTCTCCCGGCGCTCCTTTCTTTCTTTTATTTTTTTATTTTTTTTCCTTTTATCCGTTCGGCATTCCGCAATTAGCCTTAAACGGTCCACAAAAATACCGGCCGGTTCAAGGGTCCCTCGTGGCGACGATTAGCCGCACTTTTGATTCCCCTCGTTGACGGGATAAACAAAGAAGCGACGAGCGGGGCGTATTAATTTCAGGGAGCCCGGGGTCCGCGAACCGAACCCATAACCGATCCCATAACCGCCGGGTGGAACACATAAGCTCGGAAGCCCGGGGCCATAACTCGTTTCTAGAATGCCAAGGTCTCGTTCGCGAGGGAACCGCAAAGATGCGAGCCGCGATTTTAAAGGCGATCCTAAAAGAGAGCGGATACCGTCCGGGGGACTCGTTCGGGAAATTCTTCGTCTTTATCGTCTATATATTTATTTTTATCGCCACTAGTAATAATAAGGGGCTGGATCGCGGTCCATTTCGGGGCGCACGAAAATCCTTTGATGGGGACCGTTAAAAAATTAGACCGTACCCTCGAATTTCACGCACGGGTTGCCCTTAATTCGAAACAACTCCGGCATTTACGGTTTGGCCGAGGCGATTAGGATCGGTGTCACAAAGGCCCGGGGCAAAGGGTGGGTCCGATTCGAAGGGTTGGGACGATTATACGGGGAACGGAGGAAATCCATATTCGAGGGCGCCATGGGGCGGCCTCGGACGAGGGGGCGTCGCGGTGGACCTTCAAAGTGCGTCTCGCCTGCGAGGGTCGCTCCGATGCTCTCTGAGCCTTTATCCTTGTCTTTGTCCCTCTAACTTACACTCTCGGCGAGCTGGGAAAGTGCAATGTCCTCGAAAAGAGGGTCGCGGGGACGTGCATCGCGATGCGTGGAAGGAAAAGAATAGGGAGGAAAAACTAATCCATGGATGGAAACTTCGGCGCGAATGCAAATGAGGAAAAGGGGGTCCAGGAGAGACCGGCTCCGATCGACCGGAAAGTAATCCCGACGGAACGGGAAGCCTAATGGTGTTTCCATTACCCCGCAGCTGGGAAAACAAGGATTTCACGGAATTTTAGGGAATTTACCGAGGTTTTGGGTGTTAAAAAAAAAAAAATCGTTTTATGGATCCATCCGGCCCCGAATCCTCGTTTCGGCAAATCGAGAAAAGCGAACTCGAGACATCGCGGTCGCCGCCTAGTTTCCCAGATGACGCGTTTATTTTCGGACGTAGTTGGGTCACGGCGAGTCTACGGCGATTTTCCGCGTGCGTAAATTCTCTACCTACTTTCCGGCCGGCCTGAATCTCGAAGCCCAATTTCCCGTGTTCCCCGAGGAGGATCGTCGTTCTCTCCCTCTTGGCCCCTCGTCCTCGAAATAAGCCGACGTTTCATTCACGACTCGCCTCGCGACCGATTCCCGATCTCGAAGATCTTACGACCCTCCTTTAAAGGAGGTCGTAACTCGCTCGTTTCTTTTTCCCCGTTTTCTTCCGGGGTTGCAACATCTGCAGAAAACGTGCGGGCGAACGCGGTATTATGACAGGCCGAGGAAAGACGAAGCCGCATACGACGTGGCCGCCTATTTTCGTGAAAAAGCCGCCGACGCGGGTTAACGCGCGGAACGAGGCTTCAAATTAAAAATAGATATCTGCCGGTGAGGAAAGACCGAAATAAGTGCCGATCCTCTTCCCGTCCACCGGTGGCCGTAAATCCGCACCACTTTGCCGTTTTCTCCGGACGTTCGCCGACTTTTTTTCTTTTCTCATGCTCCTCTCTTCGTCTGTTCAGAGCGCGCAAAATCGACTGCTCATAAAGAACGGCAAGGTGGTCAACGAGGACGGAATCATCGACAGCGACGTGTACATCGAGGATGGAATCATCAAGTGAGTACGCGAATTCCCCCCCCTTGGAGAATAAATGTTACAGTTTTTATATGACCCCCTTCTCGCCGGGAATCTTTCTTAAACGTCGGTTCTACTTTTTTAAGCCTGTCCTCCCCCTTGTTGTCGCTCGCCGTAATTGGACGCGACGTCGGAGTAATTTCCCGCGAGCGGACACGTAATCGCGGGCGCATCCGCTAAAACTCGATCCCTCGAAGTGTCACGATCGCTTGGCTTGGCGTCGGTCGAATGGTGAGGACGTACCTTCGGAGGGTACACGCGTGACGTTGCACCCGCCCGACACGCGATACGCGTCGTCTCGTATAGGTGAACGGGGACGCAAAACGATACTCTTATCGTTAGCCATTGACTGCGACGCGTACGCGAGAGAAGGTCGGAAGTTCAACGCGTGACCTCGGCTCTTTGCGTTTCCTCTTGAAGAATAACACAATGCGCCATTATGTAACAAAAGCATGGTTTGCGCTTTATTATGCACAGGCACGGAGAACGAATATGGAAACTTTTTCGTCCTAGAACGTTTTGAGACTCTTTCCGTCGCGGAAAGGCCAACTTTAGGTACCGAAGGCAGTCGCGAAAAGGCGTAAATCATGTTTGCGGTACATAGAGGAATTTTTTCATTTCCGATAACCCCTTCGCCCGGATCGGCGACAAGACAGATCGGGAATAAAAACTGCGCGGTTCCCAGGGGTGGCTAATTGGACTCGATACTCTCTCCCCTTCTCGATCGGGTCATCGTTTCGACCCGAATCTCCCGAATAGAGGATCGGAGGAGGTCGTACGGTAATCCCGCCACTTTGCGGGAACGCGAGTCGAGCGTTGATTGTTTTTCCTCCATGCGGAGTGTCGACACCCGGCGAGGCCCTTCTCCGAATGGGTTACACCCGCGGTTTATCGTTAACGCGGCGGGCGCTCTTACGTCGGGACGGGTTTGCACTCTTTGGCGATAACGAGGGTGTTAATGAATTTCCAGACAGCTCGGCAGGAACCTCATTATACCCGGAGGGACCAGGACGATCGACGCTCGAGGGAAGTACGTCATGCCCGGTGGGATCGATCCCCATACGCACTTCGAGCTGGAGCTGATGGGCGCCACCACGGTGGACGATTTCTACCAAGGTACCAAGGCCGCGGTCGCGGGAGGAACCACCATGGTCATCGACTTCGTCATCCCCAAAAAGGACGAGAATCTCCTCGAGGCCTACGAGAGGTACAGGGCGACCGCTGACGAGAAGGTCTGCTGCGATTACGCCCTCCACGTCGCCGTCACCTCGTGGGGCCCCAAGGTACGAAAGGCCCCTCTGGGCGAAATTGGGTTCTGGCTCGCTCGTCGACCCTTTGACTCCCATTTTAGATGAAATTTATCTCCGCCGAGTGTATCGCTGGGGCGGGAATTCGTGATTTAGCGGACCAAAAGTGTCACATCCTGCACGCCGTCTACCAGGCCGGTTGATAATGACAGCGGTGATTGATAATAAATGCCGCCGGGTGGACCGTCCTCCGAGGGTTAAACGAACGCGAGGCAGGATGTGACATCGTCTCTTGTTCGAGACGAGAAACCGCGTCAGGAGAAAAATTTTAATATCAAGCGAGCCCCGATTACCAATTTCCTAGATGTTCGAGGCGGAGACGCTATCGCGATTAACGCGCTCTCGTTTGCACCCGCGTCAAAATAGGAGCGCGCTCTGATTAAACTTTTCATCCCCGCGAGCATCGCGGCAAGTACGCCCTCGTGGGGCACGGTCTCAGAAGTAACCGCCGTCAATTACGTCTCATTATCGCGGTAATTAATTTTTCTCGTTAATATTAATGCCGCGGGCTCTCTCCGATGTACTCGCTAACAATCCCGAGGCACCCGTAACGCGAGCATGCGACTACGTCCAGTCGTTAAACGCACACGTTTCCAACGTCTTTGACCCGATATTCCGCTAAACGCGATCTGTCGGTCGTATGTTAATACCCGGAGTTTACCGGGAGGTCGTCGACCGTGCGTGGTCCAGTTCGCACGACCCCAACCGTGCTCGCTCCAATTTATGAATTTTCCTGAATTCGTCGCGATTCATCCTCGACCGCGTGAGAACGCTCGACTCGAGGCCGCGCTTTGTAGGGGCAATTGGATTCTCCTTGCGGTTTATTTTATTTCGCTTCTTTTTATCGATCCAAGCTGTCGCGCGATGCCGGCTTCTTTGAGAAAGCCTCTCTCTCGTCCGGCCTAGGCGAAGTATTAAATGTGCGCGACGTTGCGACAGAATTGGACCGCCGTTACCCGGAGCGGAACTCTTTCGGGGAAGCGCTTATTCGATTTCTGTCCTCCGCGCTCAACTTACCGTATAATCGGTAAGGTGAAACAAGGCATGGGTTACCGGCTCGTCGTGGAAAGTCGAGGTGCCTCGTTGCACTTGGACTCGTTTGCTGCTCCGTTTAATTGACCGGGATTGGCCAGGTGGAAAACGGTCAACGAGACGTCGCGAGTCTGTCATTTTACGTATATCTCCGAACTTGGGCGCTTCGATACCTCGATGCGGTCGAATCTAATTACGAAACGGACAATGTGGCTCGTCGGTGTTTACTCGAAACGCGATGTCTAGGTTAAGGGATACAATGGTACGCGGAAATTACCGTGGAAAATTGCGGCCGGGACGAACAATGAACTCGCTGACCGTGTTTTTACGATTACGATCGCACATCTATGGTAACGACGAGCCCCTCGTTGAACGTCAATAGGATTAGGTCAACTTAACTGTTACACGGTCAGCATTTGAAACCCGACTGGAAACTGACGAGAGACGAGTTCCGACCGTGTCACTCGGTCGCGGTGCTCGTTCGATCGAATTTCCGAGGAGCTAAAAAAGTCCCCGCAACGGCCGAAGAACCAACCGCGCAATCGTATGTTAATTGCAAACATTTCTCTATGGGAAAATATTCTTCCGCGACGGAGGACCGTGTTTCCTGGGTCGGAGAAACCGGCGCTTTCTCTCGTTTCTAAATACGTACGGCGAGCTTCTTCCTGGGCGTAACTCTTACGAAATTGCCAGCAAAGCGTTATCTCCTCGCGATTCGGTTTCACTTTGCGTTTCCTCGGGCTAGGAACGGTGGATAAAACGCGCCTCGGGTGCCCTGGCCATTCGCCTTCCAACGAGTTGGCTGCTTTTTGCCCGTTAGATTTCATTGATAATTTTTGAAATTTCTTTTCGCCGATAAAGGTACCGTGCAAAGTGCGGTAGCCCTATCGAGCGCTCGATGAAACCCGCGATACGGATTTATCGTCTCGTGAGGCCGACCGTCTGGAAACGACTCGATGCGATAGCTAAATTAGCCGTCATATCGGCCGCGGATGGTTTCGTGCAGAAGTTGATTGTTTTACTTTGCACGCAAGGCAAGGAGTTATTTAGGAGAGTATCGATCTCGGCCGATTTTGCGTCAAGGTTGAACGAGCAAGGAACTGCAATCGCGCCTAGCCGTTATATCGATGTCTAAAAAGGGTCGTCAAGGGAGAACCAAACGACCTAGTTAAATTTCTCTTAAGGTTACGTATAGGACGCCCTTCTATAAGCGTTTGAGAGCATTTCAACGAGTCGATTATAATTTTCCGTGTTTTTCAGATAAAGCAAGAAATGGAGACCCTGGTTAGGGACTACGGGATCAACAGTTTCAAGGTCTTCATGGCTTATCGCGATCTCTATATGCTGAGGGATCCGGAGCTGATCGAGGTCTTCAGCGCCTGCAAGAGTATCGGAGCCATTGCCCAAGTCCACGCCGAGAACGGCGACTTGATCGACGCGGTGAGAACCATTCTCTCGAACGACGACTCCCGACATCTCGAAAGTAGAAGGCGAACGTCCGTTTAAAAATATTGCCGTTTCAGAACGTGAAGAGGTTACTCGCCTCGGGAGTGACCGGCCCGGAAGGACACGAGATGTCTCGCCCCGAGGAAGTCGAGGCCGAGGCTGTCAACAGAGCCTGCGTTATCGCTAACCAGGTGCGTACACTGTACAAACACCGCACCAAGGTTCACGGCCCGTCCCACCACCTCCGTAGAAAATTACGCTTTACTTGTCGGTAGAAGCTGCCTTGTTTGCGTATATTTATTTCCCGTTTATCCCCCGAGTAGCGCGTCCACGCATCCCTTTGTTTGGCGCTTCTCGTGGAAACTCGTAAACGTCGTTCGACGGTATCCTCGGGTCGGGGGAAATTTATAAAACGATATACTCGATCGACCGACCCCATCGATTTCGTCTTCCGTGTTCCATCCAGTCCGACTCGAAATGGCCGGCGAGTCTCCGCGCGTTCCCGGTGACGGACGTGGGTGATAATCTGATGGCACGCATAGGTCGAGTGTCCGCTGTACGTAGTGCATGTGATGAGCCGTAGTGCGGCGGAAATGCTCGAGGCGGCCCGGAAGCGCGGCGGGTGCGTTTGGGGCGAGACCCTGGCAGCCGCTCTCGGTACCGACGGCTCCAACTACAGGCACGCTTGCTGGAGACACGCCGCAGGGCACGTCGTCAGCCCGCCCCTCAGGCCGGACCCGGAAACGCCGAGGGTCCTCATGCACAAATTAGCCACGTGAGTCGACCCCCTTCGCGACCTCAGGGTTTTCGAGCGAGCCTCCTTCGGCCGGGAGATACGAAGCATTTCGAGTTCACCTCCCCGGGCGGATTGGAAAACCGTAATTCGCTCGGCGAGAAGGAAGCGCGTCTCTCGCGCACCGCCGGCACTCGGGTCGATCGCGGAGCATGAGAATCTCGACGAGGTCCCACGGACGAATGCGTCTCCCCGTTGAATCGCGCGCATCGTACACGCATGTCTATAGCAGCTGCCGTTGGTCACAGTTTTTCTTTGCCGTATTGATTTTTCAGTTCATTTATTAGGAACATCCGAGCACGGTTCCCCCTTGTCGTCGAGCCTTTCGTTGCGGCACGTTCCTTGACGGCGTTTCCGCCGCGGTCGGGGCCGATGGACGCTATTTGCTTATCGGCGAACATCGGCCCCGATCGCGGGGGTTCGCCTTCTCGCCGAATAGAGGAGGGCGAATAAATTGAGTTAAACCACCCCCCATGGGAAAATGTCGGCGTTTAGGTGAATTGTCCGCTGTACGTCTCGGCGGTAACGAGCGGGTCCGCCGCCGACGTCGTTTCCGCAAAGCGGTCCGATGGAGCCGTCGTTTTCGGCGAAGCTCTGGCGGGTAGCGTCGGGGTCGACGGGAGCGAGCAGTACGGCAAGAATCTCGAAAAAGCCATTCGGTTCGTTACGAGCCCGCCTCTGAGACCGGACCCTACGACGCCCACTTACTTGATGGAGCAACTGGCCCAGTAAGTACCGTTCCGAGAAAAGAATCTATCCCATGTGGCGAGGGCCTTCTCGACGTCGGCCGTGACCCTTTTCAGCGATCCTTTTTGCGTCTCCTTTGACTTCCGATTCCTCTTCGAGGTTCAAGGGTAAGCACGGGACGAGCCGTAAATTTTATTGCGCGACATCGTTGTCATTCGACTGGTGTTTCAGACTCGAGGAGTACATCGACGGTGGAATTTAATTCGATGCGTCGCACTTGCTCGACGGGACGAATTACGTCAGTTTCACGTGTCTCCGTTCCACGCCGGGCAAGCGATCCTCGCGCTGCGTGGAGTAGCGTAGGTGTAGAGTAAGCGCTCGTAAACGCGTTGCGTAATCACATTAAGGTCGTCCAGGGACGGCCGGCAAAGGAAAACTGTTTTTAACGTCGGTTCGTCAAATCGAGTCGCGAAGTCGCGATCGCGTTTCTCCCTTCCCGATCGGGGATCGTTCCGTCCTATCCGAGATTGGACGTTCCGGGGTACGTAGACGACCGTTTCCCGGGCGGGGGAAAGTCCGGTTACGTTAACGAGACGTTCGCGTTTCGCAGAGACGGCCTGCAAGTCACGGCCAGCGATAACTGTACGTTCAGCTCCGAGCAGAAGGCGCTGGGCAAGGACGACTTCTCCAAGATCCCCACCGGGATCAACGGGGTCGAGGACCGGATGTCCGTGGTCTGGGAAAAGGGAGTCCACGCGGGAATCATGGACCCGACGAGGTTCGTGGCCGTGACGAGCACGAACGCTGCCAGGATCTTCAACTTGTACCCGAGAAAGGGCGTCATAGCCCTCGGATCGGACGCCGACATCGTCGTCTGGGACCCCAACCGGAAACGAACCATTTCCGCCGAGACTCACGTCCAGGCGGTGGACTTTAACATTTTCGAGGTACTCGGGCATTCGCGTCACCGAACGATTTTTTTTTTTTTATACGATCGACGGCATAAGGTGATCGCGACGATTCTCCGCTGCTTACAGGGAATGGAGGTTCACGGAGTGCCCGAATACGTGATCGTCAGTGGACGCGTCTGCGTGGACGAGGGCGACGTCAAGGCGGTCCACGGGTTCGGGAAGTTCATCGAGACCCCCGCCTATTCGCCCTACGTATACGACTTGGTCAGCGAAAGGGAGAAGGTGAGCCTCGAGTAGTCGTAGGACGTTCTCCCATCGTTTAGACCGGGGTAGAAATAAAAAAGACGCCTTTCGGGTTCCAGCGACCGCGCGGAATCGCGAGGTCGGATGCCGAGGCGAAGAGGTTCGCCGAGGAGGACGCCGTGCTCGCGAAGGCGAAGGAAGCGGCCAGAGCAGCGGCCGCGGCCGCCGCCGCGAGGGCCAATCAGCAAAACGGAACCCACGAGGTGCACAAACCGAAGCTGACGGCCATCATCTGCGCGCCGACATTGCCGGACTCCGCGGTGGTGACGCCGTCCTCCAAGGGACCGCGTCTCGAGGGCCAGAGGAACCTCCAGGATTCGACCTTCTCTATCAGCGGTATTTATACGTAGACCTACTCGTTTTCGTTTCCTTGGCTTGTAAAAAAAATCAGGGTGTAGGTTGGTGGAACGGTTGAAATCGTTGTGGCTAAACGGTGGCGTGGTCGATTGTTGCAGAGGACGTCGACGAGGCGCATCGTGCATGCATCCGCGTCAACAATCCGCCAGGTGGTCGCAGTGCGGGAGGTTTTTGGTAATTTGTCCCTGTCACCAGTTTGCTTTTTTGCGCAAAGAACAGAAACGAAGAATTCTTGAGAGTTCCCTCGCCTCGGTACATCCCTGATCCCCGGCGTGCTCGTTCATCGTTCTCATTCATCCTCGACGCTCATCCCCCACATTCCGATCGACCGTACCAGCTTTCGTAGCTTCGCTAATCACCAAATATTAAACGTTAAGTTTTCACTGTTGTTCCAATCGATCAAGGTCTGTCCCTTGCAAGGAGGATTCGGAGGCTACGATCCGTTAGGTCGGGCACCAACATCCGTCTACGTCATTTCTCGGAAAAATACCTCTTTTCATGTTCACTCGTTTACGGTTTCGTCATCGCGCTTGCCGAATTCGCCTTCGTCTCTAGCATCCAAACGTTGCCTAATTATTTTGTTCAGTTGTCACGGTTTTGTTGGGCATCGGACATCTTTGGTCCGTGTAACGCAATGGCGAATTTTCGGCACGTTACGTTACGCTAGCTTTACGTTTTTTTACTCCGACTTTGGATCTTTCCGAGGGAAGGCACTTTCGTCGACAAGGGCTTGGATTTCTCTTTAGCGTGTTTTGTCGTTTTACGGTCCGACTTGACGAGCCCGTTGGTGGAAATATATTTATCGGAAGCCGTAGAGCCCGTGGAACGGATCGCTCCAAAGTTTCGAGTGTTAATTATTTATTGTGTATAGATATATTGCCAGATGTATTCGGAATAGCGACCTGACTTATTACCCCGGTGAAAGTAAACGATTCCGCAGCGGTGCTTGGGAACAAAGGAAACTGACAAGAAAGGGGGAAACGTTAAGTTTTTTTTTTCTTTCGTTTATAGTTGCGTACCGTATAGGCTTAGTTGTACGATAATGAATAAGTTAACGTTTGTAAGCAGTTCGTTGTCACGCAGTATGTTATTCGCATAGCACCCACATTAATTCGTACATATGCATATTAATTCGTACGTATGCGAAAGAACAAGGGGGTGAATAAAAAGTGTACGTTTACGCGTTGAAAAGAAAAAAAAAATGTCACGAGAATGTATCTCGAGGATGCAGCGGATATCGTGGATAAACGTAGCGATTCTTATTCGGACATGCGTCGCAACGTTTACAAAGGCTATTCAAAAAGCATTTCGCGGTTTTGGGGGATTTCAAGATTTTTTTAACCGATGAAAGACGTAAAAAAAAAAATTGACAACCTTCCCGGAAGGACTTTACCTTATCAATTTTATACTGTAAGCTTCTCGCTTGCGACTAGTGAAGGGAAACACGTTAAACTAGACTCGGTGACTCCCTGACACTTAAATTATCCATGCCTTTGACATTCGCTGATAACTTTCATGATGGACTATTCATTTTCATAGTCGTATTCAAAGGTACAGGCGCAACAACTAGAGATAGAATATTATCTTGGTATTATCGCCGATAACGGCGATAACGAGGTATTATTATAGTGATACTACTTATTCGCACATCTTGGACAAACGTGTGAGATCTACGATCGGAATAAATCGAGGAAGAACGAACTTGTCCAGGTTTTGGCTATGACAACGTATCGAAGTCAATGTTCTCGAAGTGGAGAATTTTTTAACTAATAGCCAAGAATGTTTAAGATCGACATATCGAATTTGAAGGGGCAAAGAGGGCGACCATCTTAAAGACGTGAATGCAAGTTCTCTAAATTCGATCGCAGACTTTTCACGCTTGTTCCACCGAAGTCGACTACCATTTCACTTGCATTGTTTCGATAAAATGACCTCACTGCATTTTCGACATAGCATTTTCACATCACGGGCGGACACGAGTAAACATGGTCTACGTAACATTTTCTACTAGATTTTATATCGCGGTCGTATATTTCAAATTTTTCGACGAAATTTTCTATAGGATCAAAAGATTGTAGGTCGAGATAACGTGCCGGATAAAGTAGAAGAAATTGAGATCTGCACGAGGGTCGAAAGTTCGGGATTTAAAGTAACGAGCTAAATTGTCGGAAGGTCTTCCGAACAATGTCGAGACGACATGTCTGTCACACGGGTTCCAGTATTCTAATATCGCGCGCTCAAGAAATGATAAGAAAAAAAAAGCTTTTTGATCAGCGTTAACAGCATAAGCATTAAACTGTGTTCACGTTCAGTGACCTTGGGTATTCAGAAAAATGATACATATTCTAATCGGTATATAGGATACAGGTAAAGTATCCGTGTCTGTTATTTAATGTATGTGGTTGCTTTAAATAAATATAACGATATGAATAATAATACTGAATAACAATGGTTTGGTGCATGTTCGTTAATATTCTTGAGTAAGTTGCGAAGGTAATTATAATTTAAATGTACGTATCGATAAAACTTAAAATTCGGGTTATCGGAGATACGGTCCTAAGTTCAGTCTGTTAATAACTCTTGATGGGACTAGGAAAAAAAAGTCGTTATGAAACAATTTTTTAATGAAATCAACTTTCCTATGCTTGAAAATATCACGTGAACATTTACAATATCTCTGTGCATCTCTTTTGGTAACAATCAATGCTTTCGTTAATAAAGCATTCTTATCGACGATGAAACTAGATAAAACATTCCGTAGATATTGACAATTTACGAGCTAAGGAGTCTGAACAAAGTTGTCGATCAAGGTCTGAAGATTTTCGCGACACGCGATCTTCTCTAGGGAGTGCACTATTTCGTTAACAATTAGGGACCGACTTTCTCGTTTATCGGGTACCTAAAATTGTACAAACTCTCCGTTGCGTTGTAGAGGTCTTATAGAGTATCGCTTTTCCTAGGGGAGAAGAGAAGTATTATCGGTTTTGAGTCACTGCTGATTGTCATTTTCATCGCTCGGAACCTCGACCTTCCGTCGCGCCTTTTCTAATATCTGTTTCAATTCGGATGATCTCGACGTCTTGTACTGGATAGGGAGGAAACGACTTTAATCGTCTGCTTTACTTAAATAAGAATATATCGTTAACGGTATACTTACGCCGGAAGCATTTCGTGACAAAGTGATCTGGCCGTCCAATCTCCTTCCTTCCGTTTCACCGCAATAGTGCTCCAGTTGTCTTTTCGTCAAACTAAATAGCTCCCCACCTGTCATCTCCTTCAACTGTTTACAGATTCTGTATGGGAAAAAATAATTTGTCGTATTACCGCACCTAGTACCAATATCGTATTAATTTAAATAATTGCAGTCACGCTATGGTTCTGTACTTTTCCGAAAATCCTTTGGCCCGCAGCCAATCTTGGACTTCCCGAGCGGAGGAATACTGATCGATGAACACGTCCGGCGTCTTAACGATGTCTAGATTCCTCTTCTTTTCCCGGAATATCGTCAGAACGTACTTGAGCTCTTCTTGCACTTTATCCTGGCTGGTCATTCCTTGATTAAAATTTGTAACGTGCATTTTGTCAAAGTTGAAAGCATGATCGACTCGGGATGGATTTTATTGATTTTGGAGGAACTTACCTTCACTCGACGACTTATTGCTTTTGGTTGTTCCCGATCTGTTAGCATCCGATAATCTTTCTCCTGGTGGTGGAGGTGGAGGCGGTGGTGGGGGCGGTGGGAAATTTTCCGAAGTCGAGTTCGACGTAGAGCTCGAGTTGCAGGACGTAAGATTGGCATCGGTAACTTTTCCTGGCTCTTGTTTGACTTTCGAGTTGAGAGTTTCCGACAACGAGTAGGTAAAATTGTCGCTACTGCTGTCACTGGAAATACTGGAGTCACCTGCGATTAGTTAATGACTCGTGTTAAATTTAGTGCAACGATTCTTTCGCTCAATTTTGTTAATCCATTTAGTAGGTTCCATTCCTTTTTATTAGTAACATTGCTGCATCCTCGATTGCGTACATGTTATTGCCTTTTTCTATACGAGTAAGTTAACTTCTACGGTGCAGACTAACAAAAAGGATTGACATTTAAAAAAATTCATTCTTCCTCAGTTCATTAGTAAAAAAGAACCAGAGTACTACCGAAAGGTACAGGACTTAAGAAAAAGGTAAATTCACCGGGGAGATATTGGTTAGTAAGTCCGATAGTAGATAAGATTACCCACTCCCGTGATTAACGACGGTTAGTCAATTCGCGAATTTACCTGCAGTTTTGCAAGTGCCAATCTACCGAGTACATTTTTAGAGAATACATTCAATAAGTTCTTAGGCGTGTGCAGACATTTTTCAGCAGTTTGGAAATTTGTATTTCCGACACCCATGCTTAATATCCTGCGGAATTACTTACCGGGGTCACGAAATTCGTGCCGACGACGTTTAGTTTTGGACTTGCTAGCAGCCGATCTCGAATTAGCGGCGCATCTAACCAGAAGCGACAAGAAAACGTTGCTCGAGTTCTTACGAATTGCGGGACCCTTAGGGCAGGATGCTTCGTGGATTTAATCAAACGTTTGAAAGCAGGAATTAAGTCAGACAGATTCGGAATCGTCGGGTCTTCATCCTATCTAAACAATCAATTCCGTCCCCGACAAATTCCAGGCGTACGATCAAATTCAAGGACGAAAGCTAGATTTCCTTGCCCCTTTGAAATGATTGCAATTAAAAAAAAAAAAATACCGATAACCTGCGCATACGACGTTCACACAAAGAGTACGTACAGAGCACGGAATGTCCAATCACGACGAACAATTGTCATGCGGCTGACAAAACTCTCGTGTCGTGTAAACATGTAAGTAATTATATATTTATTAATCAGAGATTTATACATAAATTACAATACAATGAAATACTGGACGGATGATTATTCTCAATCCGTATACGTGAGGCGAGCGAAAGACGTGCAACGAGTACGACCAAAGAAACGCAATTTCAGGGCCAGAAATTTGGGAAACCGGCTCCTCTTTGACTTTTTCTGCACTTCCTTCGACCTAACACGTAATGGAAGACGGGACGCGTTACGAATCTCGGGAATCAAACGGACAATTCTTTCGGCAAAGAAAGTTGACCGATCAAGGCGATGCAATTATTTTTTTATCTCGGTGACAAGGCATCTCCGCTTGCGATTCGCCACAGTCCAGCATCGAGACGTTACATTACACATAGAAGTACTCGACGATACATACACACTCTCCCGCTAATAAGACACAAATCCCCAAAAAATGGACAACGGACAAACAGAGGATCGGACGGATATTATTACAGCTAAATGTATATATTTGTATGACGACGTGTTACGATTTTCGCGGGATCTGCTAAATGATTTTAACGAGTCTGGGTTAGTCAGGCATCGAAATGCGCCGCGAACCTTCGTTAGATAAATACCTAGTTAAATTTGGTTAGACAATACATGTACGATGGCAGTATTCGTGGATCGATGGTTTCCTTGGACACCTTCGAATTTGGGCCGAGTTGACAAGGAAACCAGCGATCCGATAACACGGCCAAACTCTTCTCAGCGATGTTACAAAATCGGACCAATGTGTGAGGTACGCGATAACGAGTGCTGATTTTTTTTTTTTTCAACTATCGATCGACCAATACCATCGAGACCCATTCAATATAAAAAGAAAATAATTTTGTTAATTTGAATTCGTTGGAACATATTTTGCTCGAGCCAGATCGTCCCACGTTAATGAATATATTAATGCACATAGTGCGGGCCAAATATCCGATCGACATTCTCACCCTTTGAAGACACACGTGAGACCGACGAGCACATACGGGACGAATCGATAATTTACAGGGTGCGACATTTATTTCGTAACAAGGCACCCGGAAAAAAAAAATACCCCTCCGTTTTCGCCCGATAACTCTAAGTGGAAAAGGCCTGCCGATGGTAATCGTAACTCGTGGATAAAACTCTTAAGCTAAAACTCGTCCCCCTTGATCGCAAGACTTTGCGTCGAACGTCTCCTAGAACCTTAAGTTCAAGCTAAGACTAATTAAATTCCTTCTCTTTAATTTAAGACTATCATTAATAACTGTCTCTCTCTCTCTGCTCGGTAGTGTCGGCCTTAACGAATGGGATGATATTAATTGCACGCCTCGGTGCGACGCAAAGACTCGACATCCTAATCTCTAATCTGTACACGAGTTAGAACAGCCCGTATTAATTAGCGTTTAAGTTAATGGTAGAATTGCTTTAACCGATCAGTCTAGACGAAACTAGTGCATGTATATTCCTATGTACACCTATAATGAAAAACGTAAGGTTTAAATTAATTAACGGTACCCCCCGAGACACGTGCGAGACTTGAGAACGGCTCGGACACCGTGAAGCTTTCCACCGCATCTCGGACGTCTCTCCGTGCTCTCGGTTCATCGAGGACTTCGGATTTACCTACGTGCAAGCACGAGATCCGGGAACCGCGGGCTTAGAAGTATCGAAATTCACCTTTTTTGCCGAGACGTTCCTTGCGCACCAGATCAGCCGGTGCCGGAGGTGGGATCGTGTACGGACGGTGCGCGGCCTCCGGTCCGGGACTAGTACTGGTGCCTTCGATCTCCGAGTCCTGTTGAATTCCACATACGTTTATAAATCCATTCATTTTTCCAAACGTTAACGGGCGATCTCTTAAGAAATCGGACTCGTCCCCCGTATCACAATGGACGAACGGTTAACCGAACTTTACGACCATTGGGCCTTAATTACGGTCTTTTTAAGGCGATGCCGATAGATCCAGAGTTGCGACACCTTCCCACCTTCCCCCTCTTCCCGTACCCCTCTTTCCCACAGGGAGCATTGTGTCGAAACCTTAACCCGTAGAAAATACCCTATCGACCATTACCCACCTCGTAATTATAGCCGTGCCCCTGTCGCTGGTACCTGCTGGTGTACAGCGGATTGTTGAAGACGTCATTGTCCCCGGCATGAGCCGGGTTGTGCGGCGTGACAATGGTGTGAGGAACATGGGCGACCTGTCCCCTGGAGTTCCTGGCCTTCCACCACTTCCTGCTGTCGTCGAGGATCTCGAGGTACTCTCCCCTGACCACGGTCAACTCCTTGTCGTTGTTGGCGGTTCTGGGATAGGTGACCTGGACGATCTTGGCGTGTCGGGCGACGAGCTCGTCCAGCCAGGCCTCCATGGCCCTCTCTATGCCAGGACCACCCCTGGGGCCTCTCTCTATGGAGTCCACGGAAATGTCGCTGTGGGCCCTGCTCTGCTCGACCCTTTCCCTGTCCTCCCTCCCGTAGATCTCGGCAGGGCCGTAGTTCCTGTCGAAGTACTCGTTGCTGCGTTCCTCCCTGGTCTCGTACTCCAAGTAGTCGCTACTGTAGTGAGACTCCTCCACCTCCCTGTGGTTGTAGTAGGAATCGCTCGGTTGCTCGGGAAGGTCATCCCTTTTCTGCTTGTCGGCGTTCAGGAGGGAAGCCAGGTGATCGTGGTCTCGGTCTTCGGGGACCGGGTACTCCGGAGACCATCCGTCCATGAAGATGGGATGGTAAGGGGGAACGTGGCCCTTCCACTGGTCCCTGGGGATCAGCCACGTGTCGCCCAGGGAGTGCCAGAGCTCCGTCTCCTTGCTGGTGACGCAATTCATGAGGAGGTTCACGGCCTCCCTGGTCAACAGGGGCGAGACCACCTTGCTCGGCAGGTTGGGGTCGTAGTTGGTGTCGTGGGAGGCGTCCACGATCAAGGCCAGTGGGGTGAACAGGAAGTGCACCAACTCGGGCGCGTTCGGGTCGTGTATGTGGGCCTTGAGCTTCGCCAGGAGATTGAAGGACAGCTTGAATTTCTGGAAGATGTCGATAAACTCCATCTCCGGGGGCGGCTTGGCTCGCATCGTCAGCATCCCGTCGCCGAGGTTCCTCTTCTTCGACTTGCGGTTTCGCCGCCTGCGTTCCAGCTCCCTGGACGCGGCCGCTGCATGCTGCAGGCGGGCGATGAACTTCTCGATATCGTCGAAACAGTGGTTGAGGATCGTCACGTCTCGCTCGTATTTCTCCGAAGACGTGGAGGACACCTCATCGTTGTTCTCCTCGCCTTGTCCGTTGTCTGCAAATGGACGTTCGATTATTTTCTTTTTTCCTTTTCTCTAATTTCAGGTATCGAATCTACGACTAAGAAGGAAAAGAATAGTCACTGTTCGCGGCGTTGAAAGCTGAAACTTGTTCCCGAACGTTGACCCCGTTTAGGGGAGGTTCCGGCGGGGGTAACGCCGGTGGGGGAGGAATCTGGCCCCTGGGACCTCTGGGTGAACCCCCGGGCACCAGTTTGCCCATCTGCAACATCTTCAGATCCTCGACGAGGTCTTGGGCCGACACGCTTTGGCACTGGAAGATGTGCATCTCCGCTCGCTGGCCGGAAGAGCTGTCGTCGGCCACGGTGAACACCAGAATGTTGTTGTACATCTCCATGGGATCGCGGGACGTGAAGGCGGTCGGCTCTTGGATCAACGAAGCCGGGAATCTCTCCATGACGGCCTGGAGAACGGATAACGCTTCGTTAGCGGCCTGGCTCCCACGAGAGTAAGTAAAAACGCGCCTTAGGTTCTCTCGCCGAAGGTCTACACGAACGTATCAACGCGTTATTGCTAGAGATCATCGAATGCACGACTGGCGTCGAGGATATCGCTTTACCCCGGTCTCGTTGTCCATGATGAGGACCCAATTGCGCTCCAGGCGCAGTTGCATCTTCTGGCTCCAAATGCCGTTGCTCTTTTCGAGCTGCAACAGACGTCTCATGCCATCGGCGGGATAAACGATTCCCGTCTCCTTCGTGACCGTGAACGTCGCCAAATGCTCCATCATGTAGGTCGGTTCCGATCCCCCGCCTCTGCCGTCGGAAGTGCTGGGTGGTCCGCTCGAGCCGCCATCTTGGAATCATACGCGAACACGGATGAATTACGACTAATAAATCGCTTTCCTGCCTTCGTTAAGAGCGGAGAAAGTCGTAAAGGTACGAGCGACACTTCGCGAATAACTCTTTGGGCTCGGTCAGAGAGATTTAGAAAGCATCGCGTAGTGGAAAATAGTTAATTGTTTATAGTCGAGTCTACTGGATTACCTTTGTTATAGGGGGATGATCCGTGGCCGCTGCTGTAGTACGGCATCGTTCCTCGAACCGTCTATCTATACGAACTGAAACGAAAGAAGACGTTACCTCGACCGAACGCATTCGGTGTTTTTATGAATTGCGCGTCGTTCCTCCGGATTTGTTTGCCAAGACGTGGAAAGTTCATTTACCGCGCCAGCTTGACAAATGACAGCCGAGTCGGGAGAGATTAGTTTCGCCGACGCGGCAAACAAAATCGGAGCGCCGAATTTCGGGACTTTTTACGCGGCGAGCAATTAATCGGCGGTAATCAGCCGGGGATTGTATTTCTGTCGCGGATCCTCCGCCGACAGGGACTTAGTCACCTGTCTTCGCACGGCTATGATTACCGGCGTCAGATTCTGCCCGACCGCTTGGACTTTACAATGAGTACTCGACATGAATAGCAATCAGCATCGCATTCACTGGCCGGCCTAAGGCGTTGTACTCCGTGGCGAGAATCCGACGAGGACTCGCTGGAAAAGGGAGAAAACAAGGAGGGAAATGTACTTAGGAATAAAAAGAGGAGAATTTAGAATCACGAAACGTTCCTCGTACGTTTTCGACACTTTCTCCCCGCTTCGTCGGTGGCACTCCACTTTGCCCGGTGGCCGATAAAGCACCGTGACAAAGTGCGTCTCAAAGTGGAATTTCTAATTGCACCTAGCTTCTCGTAAGCCCCGAAACTGTCCGCGAGAAACGTTTGTTATATTTTATTCCACCTTTTCGAGCAACGTCCGCGCGTGGCTCCGCACGAAAAATGCGAAGAATTGCGTAAATAAACGCAGAGGGGCCCAAGTTGTGCCCCGTGCATTAACTCTGCGTAAATTACGCGCAAACGTGCGCTCCAAACGGGATGCATTTTCTCCCGAATGCGAAACAACCGTTGTATCGGCCCGATTCGCAGTTCCCGTTGAAGAAGCTGAGCACGGTAATGGCGCTTCCGCGCGCACAATCGCAGCCAACGATACGGCAATTTTATTATTTAACGACGAGTCCCGTCGCCGTTCTCCGTTGGCGTATAAGCGGCGTGTCAAAGTACTGGGTCAGAAGGCCGTATTCGGAGGAACGAAAGTGGCCTAACTCGGTGAAATGAAATTCCTCGGGCCTAATGTGTCCGCCGGCACCCGTCCGGAATGCAGACGTTCCTCGGTGCCGAAATTTCGATCCTAATCGAACCGGGCTAATCGAAGTCGGCCGACCCAGGGGGCGACGAGCAAAAATCGGTCCTGGCCTTGCGGAAGTGCCGATAGGATTTTCTTCCGGGGATATCGAGGAAGACCGGGGGATAAATTTTCCCAAGAACCGATCGATATTTCGAGGAGTTTCGGTCTCCACGGCCCAAAAGCCATTAACGTCCCTTATAAAGGCAGCGCGCTCGGTTTTCAATTTGCCCGCGCCGCGTAATGGCTAAGTTAGTCCAGAATGGAGTCGGTCTGGGAATATGGAACGTTTCGCCATTATCTTCAGCGAAATAGGCATGCACTTAAGCGCTTTTTGCGGGATTAAGCGACTGGGCAAATTCGCGTAAAGCCACTCTTGCGTCCTGCACTGAATATTTGTGTAATTGGCGTGTCCGACCGCTCGCTACCGAGGAGTGTCGCCGCGGACGGTGGGATCCCGGGGTCTCGATTTTCGCTTTCTTTTTCCGGGCCCGACCGTCCCGTAATTCCCGAAACCGGTAATTATCATATGAAATACAGTGAAAGCCCGCGGCAACCTTCTTAACACTCGCACGCGCGCGGAATGTGAAATCCTAAAATTCCTCCCGAGAAAATTACCCGCGAGGAACTTCGAGTGCGCCTCTCCCGCGACCGTGCAAACGTCGCTCTCTGTACACACGCGAAGTGCGCGAATACGGTATCTCGACGCCGGGACTCGATCCTCTCGAGCTGCCAATTTTGGAAAAGCAATATCCGCGCGTTATCGACGGGGAGGGTGGTGTCTCTTATCGCGTCCTTTACGACGCGCCGTGGGTCGCGCCTCGATCAAGGAAGAATTACGCGTACTCTCCCGTTCGGGAATAATGACGTCGGTAATGGGTTTCCTGGAATATCGGCAATTATTAAGTCGTGATAGGACCCGAGTGGGACCCGGAGATAAACGTCGAGATGTGGAGCACCTCGCGTAGGCGACGAGCATCGAGTACTTCGAGATCGTATTGCCGCGTAATTTATACGGCGTGACGTAAAACCTCTTAATACGGTGTACTTTGTGTGGCCCCTTAATGAAGATTAGAATTAAAAAAAAAAAAAATAACCGATAATGGTCGGCCGCATAATGCGCGGATAAGGTTTCCACGCACGATGAGGATTTATGACTCATGCGAGTCTCGCGCAAAGTCGCCGTTAACCCACCTGATTTTATCATTTTGGAGTGAAATATAGGAAACATTTGTGAGCCGCAATTTTTCTCATCCTTAATTACTTTATTTTTCAGATCGAGCCTGGGGTCACGGGAGGAGGAAACCGGACGTCCGACATCGCCTCGATATTCGCCGAAGCTAAAATAGAGACGTCGTCGAGCCGATACTGTATACGGAGTCATACGAGCGTCTAATTAAATATACCGCGCACGTACGACACTCCATGGAGTGGGATTCGCCAGGACGCCTACGAACGACGCGTCGCCTTTTTGCAATCTACTGAAACATTCGCCGTGGAAAATGTCGCGATATGGCCGGAACGTCCGAGGGAAGAGCTCCGTCGATTTGTCCCTTTCGAGTCTTGAAGCGAAACGAGACGTATCCTCTCAGAAGAATGGTAATAAGGTTTAACAAGGGCCAAGAGGTGGGAAAAAAAATGTAAAGCACTGTTCTTTACAGCACCCTGAACAACCGGTGCACCGTCGTCGCGACTATCGTAACGACGTTACCGTAATAAACGCCAGGGTGTAACAAATATGAATAACAATGAGAGGAAACGGAGACCTCTCTCTGTACAGTTTCGAGTGACGGGTGTCTGTACACTGGCGGTCATGAATGGCGTCCTCGTGTACATGGTGCAGCCTGGGGGTGGTAACATAAACGTAACATAAAAAACGAGCTAGAGAACTTATGTACTTGCGGTACCTGATGTATAATAAACTGTAAAATAATTAATGTAATAAAGCAACTTATTGAATAATAACAATGAGTACATTTAATTAGACGAGCATGTCTAGCAAACCCTCTAATCGCCTATTCCTGATCCTTGAAAATCACTCGTAGGATCAAAAACAGGATCATATGACAACCGAGGAGGTGGCACGGTGTTTCTCCCGAGCAAAAATTTTAGGGGTTGAAATTTCCGATTTCTAACAGGAACATAGGATAACCGAGGAGGTGGCACGGTGTTTCCCACGGTCAAAAATTTTAGGGGTTGAAATTTCCGATTTCTAACAGGAACATAGGATAACCGAGGAGGTGGCACGGAGTTCTCCCGAGAAAAAATTTTAGGGGTATTTCCGATTTCTAACAGGATCATAGGACAGCCGAGGAGGTGGCACAGGCAAAAATTTTAGGGGTTGAAATTTCCGATTTCTAACAGGATCATAGGACAACCAAGGAGGTGGCACCGAGTTTCGTGCTTTAGATCTACGAGTGATTTTCAAAGATCAGGAATAGGAGATTAGAGGGTTTGCTAGACATGCTCGTCTAATTAAACGTACTCATTGTTATTCTTTAATAAGTTGCTTTATTACATTAATTATTTTACAGTTTATTATACATCAGGTACCGCAAGTACATAAGTTCTCTAGCTCGTTTTTTACGTTACGTTTACGTTATCACCACCAGGCTGCACCATGTACACGAGGAAGCCATTCATGACAGCCAGTGTACATGCACAACGAGGCCTAACGGTAAAGAGACAATTATTTGTGCATTCCTGGGTAGAAATGCAGACGAGCGTCCATTGGCGACGTCGAGCTTTCGGCCGATTTCGAATTAACGACGTCGGCCGCAAAGTAGTCCCCGATCGATCGCGAGAACTCCGAGTCGATTCTCCCGCGTCGAGTGAAACCGCATAGAGGAGGTCGCGTATCGACTCGGGGAGAATTTCTCGGGACTATTTATTCGTCTCTCCTCGGCGACTCGACGACATCTACCCCGAGGAGGAAAGGCGTCGGCCGGCGTTCCCCGAACGATCGTAAGATCGCTTTCACTGACTTCCGCTAGCGATCTCCGTTAGAGCCGCGATAATTGCACGCGTAATGCGGTCCCCTTTCTTCGCCGACTCTGTCCATAATAACCATCGATAATTATACCCCCCAGGGAGCGTCAATTAGGGCCGGGCCATAATTACCGGAAAAAACGAGCCGATCGAGCTAGCCGCGGCCAATCTCCTCCCGGTGCACCCTCCAAACAGGCGCGAACCATAAAACAGCGAAACGAGACAATTCCAGCCGCCGATCGCGGAAAATCTTCCGGATTAATACGAAAGGTTTTGCAAAGGGTAGGCCCATCTTTCCTCCGGGAGATTTCTCATGGCGGACAATTTTCAGGGAGAAGAGGGAACTTTGGGTTTAATTTCCCTGGGAGCTCGGCGACGGAAGGGGGGAGGAGGTCGCTCGTCGCCGAGGTAAAGACGTACCCGAGAGGTGTACCTGCCGAGGCTGGGTGCTCGAGAGCGGAGAAAAGTTGAACCGAGGGAAGGGAGGGAACGGGAGGAGGCTCGGTTGTGCATTCGAGTTAAGTTACCGAGGTAACTCGTTTTCAGACCCAGCTCGGCGTTCCGGACATTCTTCGGCCACGCATCGAATTCCGGATTCGCCTCGATCCCGGCCCGTCGATCTCTCGTCGACCGAAATAACCCCCGGATGCCGTCGGGATTTTCCTAATTCCTCGGAATTGGCGCGAAACGAGGGAAAGCGGCGGGAAAAGCTTCCCGAAACCCAGGGAGGGTCGGGAACCTAACGGGACGCCGAACGGCGCGAGCAGCTCCGAGAAGATCCGATCGAAAAATATTTTGCTCCTCGCTGGAAGATTTTTCTACCGCGGCTAGAAGAGTCGGAGGTTGCGAAAGACAGATCTCGAGGCATCGTCCGACATTGTACGATTACGCGTCGC